TAGAGAGGTGTTATTCCGACCTCAATATCTTATCTTCTCACCCACTTTTTTATGAATTTTTTAGTTACAAATTTGTCCATTTGTAAAATGACTAATAAGGACCTTAGTTACCTTATTTTGCGTTACTTTTTTTTTTATATAAAAGAAAAAAGAAAAGTTTGGGTGTGATATGTCACATCCCAGTCTCAACTCCGTCGTAGTACGATATTGTCCGCTTTGGGCCCTGGCTACGCCCTCATGGTTTTGTTTCTGGGAACTCAGACGAGAACTTCCCAGTGGGTCACCATCCTAGGATTGCTCTGGCCCAACTCGGTTAATTTCGGAGTTCTGATGGAATCCGAAGTCAATGAGTTCTCAAAAAGCCTCGTGTTATAGAGAGGGGAGTATGTACATATAAGGCACATCACCCCTTCTCTGTTGGTCTATGTGGGATGCTATAATTCACCCCCTTAGAGGTCTGACGTCTTTGTCGGCACACTTGCACCACACGACAGAGTGACTCTGATACCAATATGTCACGTCCCAGTTTTGACTCCGCTATAGCACGATATTGTCCGCTTTGGGCCCCAGTCACGCCCTCACGGTTTTATTTATGGGAACTCAGACAAGAACTTCCTAGTGGGTCACCACCAATCTTAGGATTGCTCTCGTCCGAACTCACTTAACTTCTGAGTTCCGATGGAATCTAAAGCCAATGAGTTCCCAAAATGTTTCGTGCTATAGGGAGGAGAGCATGTACATATAAGGCACATTCCCTCTCTTCGTTGGTCGATGTAGGATGTTACATAATAACTCTCACACTATGTTTAGAAAATTTGTCTCCCTTAAACCCTAACTCATCCTTCCCATATCCTTTCATTCAGAGAAAGCAAAAATAATGAACTTAGAAAATGACATTTCAATGGAAGAATTAGATGATTATGTTTCTGTAGAAGAGGTAAAAGATAATTTTATATGGGTCATCTTGATTTGTCGACTTCGTACAATTGAAGCATAGCTCTATGATTTTTTTTTTTTATTTGAATTTGCATTAGGTTATGATGCAATTTGTTTCACGTTTTCCTAAGAGAATTCCTTAGGGAATATGAATAGGATTTTTTTTTTGTCTTGTTTTGCTTTAGAATTTGTGCTCTTCTTTTAGATCCAATTGACCATTGCTCATACACAAGAAAAATAGCTTATCAATAACAAAAATAAATAATCTGGCACAAATTAACCAATAACTTACAAAACTAGAATGAACCCAGAAAGTAAAAATGTACAACAAAGTAAGAGAATCTCCAACATATGTGGCAAAAATGGAAAATGCATATGAAAAATAAAACAAAAAGGGAAAAGCAAAGAATGAAAACCCATAATTCTTCATTCCCACCCCAATTGGAATTTGGAAAGGAAACAGTTTTCTTTTTCCTTTTTTTTTTGGCCGAGTAATATTATTTGTTTATATTCTTTTTTAAGAGAAATTTATCTCCAATTATATATAGGGTTATTTTAGGAATAATAGTGGGTGAGAAAATAATATTTTAATTTTTTAACTTATTATAGTGGGTGTAAATATAATGTGGGTGGAAAAATAAGACAACGACGTGGGTTTAATAGCTCTCAATTTTTATCATGATATCCCAACAAGTTATTATTCCAACATGTCATGGACCCTATTTAATTGGCTCGAATTTATCTCTTTCGGTTGATTTAAAAATTAAAAAAAATTGTGTTGGCTCTAGTGAATGAAAGATAAAGGAGATCTCAAAAAGTTGCTTTGCTTTGGCATAATGAGTTAACCAGTTTTGATCATGTGGGAATTAGTTTCATGTGTTACCCGTGTAATTACTTGGGCCTTCCTTCGATTCGGGGCAAATCAAAGAAAAATGCTCTGTTCTTTGGATCTTGCCGCAAGATCCAATGCTAGAAACTAAATGCTATTGTCTCAAGGCAATAGCTCTGACTGTTTCTAGTTATCCTATGCATTGTTTTCGGTTTACTACCTCTATGTGCAAGGAACTGAACTCTCTTATGTCAAATTAAGAGACATCAATAATTCTCATCTATGCTCTATTTGTAAAGCACATCTTGAAACGATAGAGCAAGCTCTCTTGCGGATGTGGCCCGAAAGGCAGAGAAGCTTTTCTTGGAGATTGATATCCCGATAGCTTAAGATTACTGATGAGGTGAAATCCCGATCATGGGTCGCTTCACCTGATTGATGCTCTCTTTCAAGTGACACTATGAAGATTAATTTTGATGTGGCCTGGTCTTCTACCACCTTGGCAGATGGTTTTGGGGTAATTGTTAGAAATGCTAATAGGATTACGATTAAGGGCTTGGCCAGATCCTTTACGGTTGGGTCTGCCCTTGAAGTAGGGATGGGTTCGGTTTCATTCTGTTTGGTTTTTTGTCAAAATCGAAACCGAACTAAAACTTCAGTTCGGTTCGTTTCGTTTCGATTTTCTTTCAGTTTTTTTTTTGTTTGGTTTTTTTCAGTTTGGTTTCGGTTTTTCTTATTATATAAAACTTGATATTTTTTTAATATGGAATTTAGGAAATAGGCTTGCACTAGTAGAGTAATAATAAGAAAAATGAAAAAGTGAAAAGTTAGTTGGACATATACAGGATCATATAAACCAATCTTATTCTATGAATAACATCAATTGCAAAAAAAAAAAAAAATGATCACCGTATCCATTCTAAAAGCAAACAAATAGAGAAGTTTTTGCAAGTTCCAAAGCATTCCAAAATTTTATTCTATAACCAATGGAATATCCTCCCTAATTGAACCAAATATGTTCATTGAAAAAACATTAGGCTTAGTTTCAAATTTGGCAACAAAGTTTCAAAAAAGAAATATCATGGGCATACATTAATAAAGTGTAAGGGGGGATTTGGGTTGGTTCGGTTCGGTTTCCAAACTGAAACCGAACTAATAAAGTTTGGTTTGGTTCGATTTGATTTTGCCTTTTTCGATTTGATTTTTTTCTATTTTTGGGTTTTTGAACCCACCCCTACCTTGAAGTCATTGGCGGATCCACAGTGGGGTCAATGGGGTCGCACGACCCCTTGGAAGCCATGGAAACAACCTTAGAGACCCTTTGGAGCTGCTGGTGCGACCCCTTGGCTGCACACCAAGTGTTCGACGAAAGGTCTGAAAGAACTCTCAGTTGGGCTGGTTGAAGACAAAGACGGATGCGCGCACCTGTTTTTTTTTTTTTAAACAACCTGGGCAAAACGACGTCGTTTTGGCCCAGGAAATTTTTTTAAATGACCTGGCCAAAACGACGTCGTTTTGGGCCAAGTTTGAACAAACAAAAAAAATGCCCAGCGTGTCATTTTCAGCCCTATTTCACACAGATCCGAAGCCATTCATTCCAAAACCCCCAAATTTCTTTTGTTTTCTCCTCCTCCAACCCTAAGTTCCAAACTCAATCCCCCCAAACCCTTAACTCCATCTCCTCCCTTGCTGCTACCATTAAGGTGCCTTTGTGCTGCCGTCGTCGTCACTGTGGTGGTGGTGCCACCAACTTTGCTCTTTGTATTTACTCATTGTTATTGTGAAATTTCACAATTCAAGTAAGTTCTAAACCCTATGTATGATATATTTAATTTAATTGAAACCTAATTCATATTTATTTTGATTATATTGGTGGTTTGTTTATATTGTGAGTATTTATTTTGAATATTTTGTATATGTAGAATATATTTAATTTAATTGAAATGAAATTCAATTCATATTTATTTTGATTATATTGATGGTTTGTTTATATTGTGAGTTTTTATTTTCATTATTTTGTATATGTAGAATGCAAGATGAGATATTTAATTTAATTGAAATCCAATTCATACTTATTTTGATTATGTTGATGGTTTGTTTATATTGTGAGTATTTATTTTGAATATTTTGTATATGTAGAATATATTTAATTTAATTGAAATTCAATTCATATTTATTTTGATTATATTGATGGTTTGCTTATATTGTGAGTTTTTATTTTCATTATTTTGTATATGTAGAATGCAAGATGAGATATTTAATTTAATTGAAATCCAATTCATACTTATTTTGATTATGTTGATGGTTTGTTTATATTGTGAGTATTTATTTTGAATATTTTGTATATGTAGAATATATTTAATTTAATTGAAATTCAATTCATATTTATTTTGAGTATATTGATGGTTTGCTTATATTGTGAGTTTTTATTTTCATTATTTTGTATATGTAGAATGCAAGATGAGATATTTAATTTAATTGAAATCCAATTCATACTTATTTTGATTATGATGATGGTTTGTTTATATTGTGAGTATTTATTTTGAATATTTTGTATATGTAGAATATATTTAATTTAATTGAAATTCAATTTATATTTATTTTGATTATATTGATGGTTTGTTTATATTGTGAGTTTTTATTTTCATTATTTTGTATATGTAGAATGCAAGATGAGATATTTAATTTAATTGAAATCCAATTCATATTTATTTTGATTATGTTGATGGTTTGTTTATATTGTGAGTATTTATTTTCATTATTTTGTATATGTAGAATTATTATGGAACGGTTTTTTAAGAGAAAGTCATTATCGGGTTCGGGTAGTTCGAATAATGTTGATAGTTCAAATACTGTTTGTAGTTCAAGAACTCCAAGTTCAAGACAAAGTCAGTTAGATGATGTTTTGGGTAATCTTGAAGCGGATCCTGGATTGAGAACTCGAATAATAGATTATGATGCTAATATGAGAGATGAGGTCCGAAGATCATATCTACAAAAAGGACTTTGTCAACCTACAGGTCATAATTTCCCAATAACTAATATGTCGGGAATTAATCGACACTTCATTCCCCAATGGTTTGATGAGTTTGATTGGTTGGAGTATAGTATATCTAAAGATGCGGCATTTTGTCTCTATTGCTATCTCTTTAAAACCAATTTTGCACAAGTGGGTAGTGAAGCTTTCACTAGAGATGGATTTAAGACTTGGAAGAAAGGGAGAAAAAGATTTAAGATGCATGTTGGACCAGTTGGGAGTGTTCATAATAAGGCTAGAGAAGCTGCTACAAATTTGATGAATCAAGCTACACATATTGAAACGGCAGTAAGCAAACACTCCGACCAAGCTCGTAAGGCTTATCGCACATGCTTGAATGCATCAATCAAGTGCACTAAGTTTTTATTGCGACAAGGTCTTCCTTTTCGTGACCATGATGAAAGTGCCACTTCAAGCAATACTTGGAACTATTGCAATTCTTTGCAGATAATAATGATAAAGTTAGAGAAGTTGTGATGGAAAATGCTCCGGGGAATCTCAAATTACTAGCTCCTATCATTCAAAAAGAAATTGTGAATTCATGTGCCCTTGAAACACTCGATGCTATCATGGATGGTCTAAAAGATAGATTCTTTTCAATATTGGTGGATGAAGCACGTGATATGTCGGTGAAAGAGCAAATGACTATGGTGTTGCGTTATGTGGATGACAACGGGCATGTAATTGAAAGATTTGTGGATATCCAACATGTTACCAACACTACTTCAAGTTCACTAAAGGATACTATTGACACATTATTTTCTCGCAACGGTTTGAGCATTTCCAAGCTACGAGGACAAGGTTATGATGGTGCTAACAATATGAGAGGTGAGTTGAATGGCCTTAAAACAAAGATATTGAGAGAACAACCTTGTGCATATTATGTTCATTGTTTTGCTCATCAACTTCAATTAGCTCTTGTTGTCGTAGCAAAGAAGAATATAGACATTGCCTCTTTTTTTGCAACGGTTAATAGTGTGGTTAATCATGTTGGAGCATCTTGTAAGCGGCGTGATTTACTTAAAGGGCAACTTCAAGAAGAGCTTGTGAATGCTTTTGAAAATGATTGTCATATAACGGGGTGAGGCTTAAATCAAGAAACAAGTCTCAAACGTGCCGGTGACACACGATGGAACTCACACTATGGTACCTTGATTAGCATCATTTCCATGTTTTCATCCGTAGTTCATGTGCTTCAAATGGTTATTGATGATAATCCCAATGAAAGTGCGGGAAGCAAATAAGTTAATGAGAGAAATACGTACTTTTGAGTTTGTGTTTCACATTTTCTTGATGAAAGTCATATTGGGACTCACAAATGATTTGTCACAAGCATTGCAAAGGAAATATCAAGAAATTGTGAATGCAATGGCTTTAGTGAAATCATGCAAGGAAAAACTACATTGGATGAGGAATAATGGTTTCGATGCATTGGTTGATGAAGTATCTTCTTTTTGTGAAAAACATTATATTGATGTTCCTAACATGGAAGAGACATTTATACTTACAGGGAGGTCAAGGCGTAATGCTCCAATAAAGACAAATCGTCATCATTATCATGTGGAGCTCTTTATTTATGTCATTGATGAGCAAATTACGGAGTTAGATGATCACTTTAATGAGGTAAATACCGAGTTGCTTATTTGTTTGGCATGTTTGAGTCCGAAAGATTCATTTGTAGCTTTTGATAAACCAAAGTTATTTCGTCTTGCTCAATTTTATTCTCAAGATTTTTCGGATGAGGATCGTTTGGCACTTGAAGATCAACTTGAGATTTATATTCATTATGTGTGTTCCAGTAGTGATTTCTCTCAATTGGAAGGGATTGGTGATCTTGCAAAAAAAATGGTGGAGACAAGGATGCATCAAATATTCAATTATGTATATTTGCTCATTACATTGTCTTTAGTTTTACCAGTTGCAACTACTTCAGTGGAAAGAGCATTTTCTGTCATGAATATTGTTAAGGGTCCACTTAGGAACAAAATGGAAGATCAATGGTTGAGTGATAACTTGCTTGTTTATATTGAGAGAGATATTTTTGCTTGTATTGAAAATGAAGCTATAATGCTTCGTTTTCAAAATATGAAACCTCGTCGTGGACAATTATAGCTTGTAATATTGTTTCCGTTATGAATTATGAATGAAAGTACTATGATTTCATTTTCAACATGTTTTTCCATCCTAATTTTTTTTTGAACTTTTACACTACGACCCCTTGTGGTAAGATTCCTGGCTCCGCCACTTGAAGTAGAAGCCAAAATTGCTGTACACGCCCTCAACTTTGAAGTGCAGCAAAACTACTAGCAGGTAGTTTTTGAATCTAACTGAAATGAGGTTATCAACACCAAATTGAAGGACCCCCATGGAGCATATATAGGGGTGAAATGCCCGACATCCTGAACCGTCCTAATCCCATCCCAAAATTTTGGACCGAAAAATGCCCGAACAGAAATTCCCAAAATCTTCGGTTTCCCGATAGTCTCGGTTCGGGATTTGAGCTCCTCTATGTATGCGATACAAATTCAGGGAGGATGGTTGATTGACCTTGTGAAGTCTCGTTTCTGTGTCACTTATCCTCTTTTATTATTCGTCAGAGGTCATTCAGTATAATGTGTGCAATTGTTTTATGAGTGCAGTTGATTAATAGACAACGCAGAAATCAAGCCATGTATTTTGGTGATGTGTTGTGAACGAAAAAGAAAACGATTAATTCGAATAAAAAATTTTGAAACCATAGATTAGCAACCATCTAGCGTCATCAAACTAATATTGGTTTGTAAGAAATTTTCAAACAAGAGCGAGAGATCGATCTTCCTGGTTGTGAACATGTCTCCGAAAAATCATCGTATGGTAAAATGCTATCATCATAACTAGTAAGTAGCATAAAAGATGTCGGGCTCAATCAATATCCTTCAGTAAACTTTAAACTCAAGAAAATCAAAACAACACATCTAAAAATGAATTAATTACATAAGAAAAATGAAAAATACATAAAGATCTATACGCTTTACCAACCTCATCCCCACCAAGTCAGCAACAAGAGCAGCTTCTCCATCTCCACACCCGGCCGCGGCTTTACCAGCTTCATCCCCACCACATCAAGATCCTTATGCTTCTACGGCTGCTCTAGGGAGAGAAAGGGAGAGACCAGTTAGGTACAAGGCTGTAGGTGTTCTCCGGCCTCAATTTTCAGCCACCACCCCTTACTCTTGCTAGGGGTAGACGGCAACCCGCTACTTCCTCATTTTTTCAGTCTCCTTCTTCCATCCCCCTCCCCTCCTTCTCTTCTTTGTCTTTTTCTTCTCATCCTCCCATCTCACTTCCTCTACTCCATCCCCCATCCATCTCTTCCTTTCCTTTTTCTCTTTCTTTTGTTTTTTTTCCGGTTCTCTCTGAGTTTATCTCAATTTTTCCTGAGCTAAGTCTCAACTATCCCATAAACTTGTCTTAGATCTCAACTATCCCATAAGCTTGTCTTAGATTTGGGCTTCTTGCCCCTTATCTGACATATTTTGCCTACTTTTATTGTTTTATGTCTTTTAACTTTCTGTCATCCCTCCTCCTTAGTTGTGATACTACATCCCCATCCCACCATGTACTCAGATAGGCAGGCTCCAATCATGAATGGGATACCAAATCCACTTTCCCCCTTCACTCCCCACCCCCCAAACGGCATACATATGTTGTATCCCCATCGAGGGCAAGTGGAGTATTTTACATACCCCTTAGCCTCACCCTCTAGCCGTATGATACTTTGTTTGTATATATTTGCAGGGGCTCGTGAAAGAGAATTGGATCTAGTGTCTACTTTCTCGGTTCGGAGTTTGGCTTCCTCCGAGAACATGATGGGGCGGTGATGTGGTCTTAGCTACAAGATATTAGGATTTTTTATTGCCTGTTGTCTTCTGCCTTCAGGCCTAAGTTTATGTGAGTCTCCCGTTGTATCTTGGGTTATTGCTCTCATTTTGCTTGGGTCTTTTACTTTTCTTGTAGTTAGTTACCCAATCCTTTTTGGACCTTGTACTAGTTTTTATTTTAATGAAAAAAAAATTCATTAAATTTGCTTTATGACTCAGATTACAAAATTTTAGTCTAAAATGCTCCTTGTTATGTGATGAAACATTTGCCTGTGTTTGTTTGTAATTTATTACAATTTGGTTAATTAATTATTGTTTTAAAGTTTATAAGAATTAAAATTTTGAATTAATGGGCACTGGTAGGTGAAATTTTCAAATATATATTTTTTTAAATTGTATGATACTAATCAACTAATTAATGATAGATAAATTGTTGTGTTGTACTTGAAAATCAAATTATTTCAAAAGGTAAAATAGGAATTTGTATCTTTCAACGGATGAAATTGAGATAAGATAATATAATTCAACGAACCATTCCAAGCGAAGAAATATAACTTTGTCGAAATTAGAACTTGTTAAGGTTGAAGGGTCCAGTGTCATTTGTGTAAATTTGCCTAGACTGTATAAAAGGAGTGGGGTGGGGGTAGAAAGGGCAGAATCGAGGCAGAGAGGCCGAGTGCATCGTCGAAAGAGGACTCAACATTGATCTCTTGAGCTGCTGAAGGTGGACTGACATATTATCAGCCAAAAAGCAGTCCCCGCAGTCGGAGGTGAAGAGATCCAGGCTAGGCATGGAAGAGGAGAAGGCATTGCAGCAGCAGCAGCAGCAGCAGCATCTATTGCTACAGCAGCAACAACAACAACAGCAACAGCAACAGCAGCACCATCAACATAACCAGCAGCAGTTATTGCTTTTACAACAAATGCAAAGGCAACAGCAACAGGCCGCTGCCATTTCCCGTTTCCCTTCCAACATCGACGCCCATTTGCGCCCACTCCGAGCCATAAATCTCCAGCCTAACCCTAACCCTAATTCCGCTCCTAATCTTCAACAAAATCCTGTTGCCAACCCCCAGCAACAGCAGCAGCAGCCCCAACAGCCCCAACAGCAGCAGCAGCAGCAGCAGCAACAGCAGAGGGTGATCCGACCCGGGAACCAGGCGGAGCTACAGATGGCATACCAGGACGCCTGGAGGGTCTGCCATCCCGATTTCAAGCGTCCCTTCTCTTCGCTCGAAGACGCCTGCGAGAGGTTAATTTTTTCACTGATTAGGGTTTCCATCTCATTGAAATCATTGGGTTCCTTTACGTTTCGGTATTTGTTATACAAATTCAGGTCCTGATATCTTTATCCCTAATTTGCAAATGGTTTTTTTATTGAAAATTACGACTTAATTCAAACACCTCGATAGACCAACTACACATATTGTTGAGGCAACTGCTAATTTGTTGGGTAATGGAAGAATCCTTGCTCTCATACATCACCCCATCACCTATTCCAGGATATCTGCTAGCAACACATTCTCACGTTGTTATCATTTTTATGTCCGTGTCAGTACCTTGAACTTGATTTTTCCCTTTGTACGTGTGGTTTTTCAGTATCATGTCCCTGAAGTAAACCCTCTCTGTGTTTTCTTTACATATTCCATGCTGGTTTGCAATTAATAGGACATAGTTTTACAGTTTCTGATTTTTTTGATTGACTTCATGTGCTTCACCTTTTATCGACACAAGAGTTACTATTTTTGCATAAAAGATTCGTTTAGATATATTATCTTCAGCACCTTATGATATTGATATCAGCAAAGAGGACATATGGGTGAAAATTCGTTTCTGGTCTTCATTATGGGCTTCAGTTTCAACAGATGTTAAAAACTTTGCCCTTTTCAGTGATTTGGCTTGATTGGAAAGCTGCTGTCATTTAGCTCCTTCAGTTTTCTTAACTGTTTTCATTTATTTTTTTGTGGGGGGTTCATTTTTGTTTTTTTTTTTTTTGTTTTTTTATTGGGAAAAAGGTTCATTTTTGTTTTCTCTGTATGTTTTGAGTTTTTTTTTTTGGTGGAGTTCTTGTCCACTTGGGAAGGGGGTTCATTTTTGTTTTCACTGTTTGTTTTCAGTTTTTTTTTTTCTTTTTTTTTTTTTCTCTTGTGGACTTCTTGTCCACTTGTGTAACTTTATTGTCTTAAAATATCGTTCCTTTCTTAAAAAAAAAGTTTTCACTTTCCCCTCCCCTCTTCTAACCCACAATCTCTCTGTTCAAAAGAATTTTATTACTAATGGATGAGGAACCAAGATGACTTCCAATGAAGTTATGTAGAAGGTTATTCAACATGCCTAAGCAGCACTAATTGATACTTCAAAATAATTACTTGTTTATCCAGTCTTGTGGTCATTTCTGTATGGGTTTTTGGATTATTTAGTATTGTGTCTAAACTGATGTCGCACTCATTTTAATTTCACAACTACTGTACAATAAATTCTTTTTAGCATTGTGTCATTATGTCCTAGAGTAGCACCTATAATTCGTAACAGAGTCATACCCTGGACTCGTTCCCTGGGAGAGAGAGAAAAAAAAAGGAGGGGGGGGGGAGGTGTAATCTTGTGGTAGCAGAACAGTATATATTAGGAGATGAATATAAAGACCTGTAATCTTGTGTTTCATATTAACATTACCCTTTATAGCTATTATGCCCTATAGAATAGATGGATTAAGCGAAGTGAGTTATCATTACTTGTTGCCTTGGGTTCTAAGTTCATTTACTATAAACTTTCTTATTACTCTTCATTTGTTAGTCTGCATACTGCTCCACGCAGTTGATGAAATGTCATCTCGAGTCAAAGAGGTTGGTTGTGGATGTGAGTGCAGTTGGATTATATGCTCTTTTGTCCCTCTAGTTATATTTCCCCTCTTTTCTCCTTTTCTCTGGGAAGTTGGGAGTGATCTAAACCATTTAATGTGCTCAGATCTAATAGTATGAAATGTGTTGATGTGTGTCCCCCGAACCTGGCCTATATGTTTTTGACACTTATTAGCAGTTGGCGTAGCTGATATTTATGAATAAGGATAATGACAAAGTTGTAGACCATTTTATCTTTAAGATGGTGGTACCTACTTCTAACTTGAATCATTCCCAAATGATGGTTGAGAGTGGTAAGCTTTATTTCCAGGTGTTTATTTAAATTGCTTGTGCTTGAACTTTTGAGAATTTGTGGCACTTCTGTGGCTTTCTTATATCTATTCTCCTCTTAAATTGGCAGGTTGCTGCCTTATCATGTAGTGGCAGATTATGAGGCAGAGGAGGATGACAGAATCCTCGACTCTGACACCACAGGCACGATTCCATCTCGCTCTCAGCAGTGGGATCACAACATATCTGCTAAAGTTGCAGAGTTTACAGCAACATTTGAGAAACAGGCACTAGCCTTTAACATAATTTCCCGTAAGCGAGCTTTGGGGGAATTTCGGTCCGAAGAGAGACTTATGATTGAGCAGGCTCTTTGCCAAGAAGAAAAAAGGACATGTCTGGAATTGAGAGCAGAGTTTGATTCAAGAGAGAAAGCTGGCCGGGAAGCTAAATTACGAGCTCAGGCAGAGCAAGCTCGGGTTGAGTCACAAGCACATGCTGAAATGTTAGCTCGGGCCCCAATAAGGCCAAGTGCACTTGGGTCTCAAGGCAATGACGTTTCGATTGGGCTTGACATGAGAGAGCAGGAACATGGGGTTAACCCAGAAGAGATGATAAATGGATGGGGAAATAATGTGCAAAGAGATGAGAAGGAGCCGTGTGAGGATTTTTTAAATGATGAAGAGACTGAGAATGGATCCACAGGCATGCAGGACGGCTGGCGTGAAGTTGGGGAGTTTGATTTGAACACTCGTTAACCAATAGAGGTCTTGGCAAATCATGCTTGATCACGGACAGAGAAGCTGTTAATAAACAGGAAAGCCGGTTCCTTTTACATGGCAAATGAGTTGGCATCGGCTGTCATGGAATTGTTGTGTGTTTCATACGGCATGAGAATTGGAGAAATGCTTGTTTTAAAATTTGAATCACTCATAGGGGAAAAGACCAATGAAGCTACAAGCTGCAGTTACAATGGAAGATGGATAGCTTTTATACCTAATTATATTAGTGGATCGCGCCTTTCCACGCTGTCACAGAAGAGGACATAATGGACATTAGTTTAAAAAGGTTCTCTGAGAGGATTGAGCTTTCCTTATTTTGATCATTTCTTGTATTTTGAAATCTGGAATTGCGTAGAATGTCCGTCCTTTGTGAGAATTGAGCTTTCTTTATTTTGATCATTTCTTGTATTTTGAAATCTGGAATTGCGTAATTTTCTTCTCTAGGTCTGAAGTTTGAACTTCACCATTCGTTTGCAGGACCAAGGTTTATAGTCATAGACTCATAACAGGGTTTGGACACGGCAATTGCAACAAAAATAGAAGTAAGGTAGGAAAGGACCACAGCATTTACGGGAAAGGCATCTCTTTACCCTCCCACCACTAGCCAACCTTTTGCCACTCCAGACACCAAAATCTCATTCATCCCGCGTACATGCACAAAGACAGTCATAAAAAAATTAAGCTAAACTAGGTATGGCAAGGAGAGGGCGGAAAATGATGCTTAGGAGTAGGAAACCTCGTATCACAAAACAAGCAAAAGAATACACAAAAAACGAAAAATTTCCTACAAAATATTGGGAAGTTGAGAATTCAGTCTCTGCTGCAACTCTTTGATTTTCAACGAGAGCTCTGCTTTTTGCTCCTTGTAGCTCTGTAGCAAGTATTCCTTTCCTTCCATTACCTCCTTTAATTCTCCTACTTCCCTATTGAGCATCTCAACCCTCTCTTCATCCCCTCTTCCTCTTTCGGTTGCATCGAAGTTGCTTTCTCCATCAGGAAATCCATTCACATAACCATTTCTTTCTTCAGGTTGCCAAATAGTGACATGGGATGATCTGTCATTGGGGCTCGCATGTCCCACACAGTGATCAGCAATTGCCTTCCTAAGCCTTTGGATTTCTCTCTCAGAATCAAAAAAGTCCCCATTTGCTGAATCAAGTTGTGACTGTAGATTGGTTGAATGTGCCAGCTGCGCATTCAGTGAACTCTGCAGCTCTACAATCTGATCCTGCATCTCTAATATCATGTCATCTCTTCTCTTCAGTTGTTGCCTCAGTTTTTGTATTACTTCCCGCTTACTGAAGATGTCGGACCCAGATTCTGAAACACATGGAGAATCTGAGCAGTTTGAATAGTGGAGGAATGGCTTTGGACGTAACTCAAGGCGATCAGGAGAAGATGCCCAGACAATGCCATTCTCCCTGTTAAATTCAGGGGCTGGAACCGTGACTAAAGGCAGGGCTCCATCAGATTCAGCCAGCATCTGGTCATTGTGCAGGCACTTCATCTCCATCATGCCCTCAGTTCCTATTTGAAACCCATTACATATATGAAACAACCACATTATTATAATGGAATGTCAAATAATATATCAAGCTGTTGCACATAAAACAATAAGGGAGTGCTGCAAATAAATTGCAACAAACATCACGCAATTCAAATAACTCAACTAGCATCAATCCAAATACAGATTGCTGTTTGACAACAAATCTTTCCATACAGTTCTTCAGCCTCACTCTTCAGAAAGAGTTCAACTGCTGTTATTCTCAACAAAGCCAAGTTTGATTAAGGCGCAACATTAAAAACTGGACACTGAGTTTCTCATTGTCTTCTTTTTCAATATGGTTGTATCTCACGATATATCATATAACCTTTCACACCCAAAGGAGAACTTTGCAAATGAAGGTAATCAACAACTGGCCAAAACTAATTTTGAATCCTGAATGGAAATTACTTGTTTACACCCTCAGAAATTCCAAGACAAGAATTTAGTACTCCATACCTGACATGCAATTAAAGCAACCGCCATCATTTTGTTGTGTAAAGGAATAAACATTTGAGTGCACACAGCAACCTGCAGACTTCCTTCGGTCAGAGGATTTTCCACTTCCTGAAATTGACAATAATGTTAAAGGGTAGGAGTCACTGTAATGAAAAAGCTATACACATTAAAGTAACATTCGAACCATTACTAGCATTCTCTTGGGGCTTTGTGTCAAGTGCTTGCTTCAGCTTGTAACCAAGACGAATTGACAGCGTACTTAACAAGGCACCACCAGCAATAAGAACCCAATTAGGTCCCTCGCCCTGAAAAGGTTTGGATCTCTGAACTCTAGGAACAGCAGTTGTTTTTGGTTTCATTTTAAAAGCTAGTGGTGTCGGAGGAAAAAATTCTGAATCATCCAAGAATGACCTATGTCAAGAATATACCAAATTTCCATGCTATCCATACGAAAGACATCGTCTTAGGTAAAACTGAATCAGGAAAGAGAAGTTAATCAATCTTGACATGAAATTGCAATCACTGATGCATGAATACTAAGCAAGACAAATGAAACAGAGAAAAGACAGTAAGCTCACAGATTTTCACATGAAAGACTTAGAATTACTAAAATGACTGGATGTAGAAATCAACAAACACGTGGTTAATTTCACTGCCCGTAAGTTCCTCCCAAGGTACATCTTGTGAACACCCTACATACATATATACATATATATATTCTGGAGGACGCGATTGTCCAATGCACAAGGATTGCCAATTTAACGAAAGTCAAAGCGCAATTGTCTGAAGCTTAATTGATGTTTTAAGTTTAGGAATTTGGGCATTAAAACTACGGTTTAAGCCTTAAATGGTTTCTAGGCAAAAGATGGCCTCAAGAATTTTCCATTTTTTCCTCCACAATATGGTTAATCAGTTTTAAAATTGGAAACAAAGGAATGTAGATGGTAACATGGCAGGTAGGAATGTGGGATTGGGAGGAATGCCTTAGAAAAATCAGAAAGTAGCGATGTCATATGTAGTTAATTTGAATTTTGCCAGAAATACATAGAGCGTCTTCCTCGATTGTCAGTTATATAATGAAAACTGAAGATTATACATTACATTCATATGATTACAATCTACCAAATCAAGCAACAGTGCAATTACAAGTTGCCCGCCCAAATGTCAGCTCGGAAGAGAATAGAAAGTTTTTCCCTTGAATAAGAATGCACAAGAAATTTTGCAGTCTGGGTCTGATAATATAATACTAAGCCTCATTCGTTTAAGACGTCAAATTAAAATAATTCCCGAAACTATCAAGGGACGAAAACCTACAACTCCAACTCAAAATTGAAATGAAATCCACCAACATTAACCAAAAATATCGATTAAAATTTCGAATTTACACACACACAGAGACGAGAGACGAGAGAAAGAGACTGCTAGTATCTAATCTATCATTCGGAGCAAAAGAAAAGAAAGGCATACCTCGTTCGCTCATTGGGTTCGTCCATTTACAGTGTAGCCATTAGGGTTTCTGAGAATTTAAGCAACTGACTCAGTCAGTCCGCCCTTTTTGTTTTCGCTTTTTTGCTTTCCCTTTGTAGAAACAAAACAAAACAAAATACAGGTTACATTACACTACAGACTTGTGGGTGAGGAGGGTTTTGAAATGGCGGCTTTTTGGCTTATTTACTTCTAAAATAAAATACTCGGACATAATTTCTTACAATATATATTTTTTTTTAATGCATCGCTTTTTATGCCACGTCACCCTTTCATCATGAATCTTCGCATACTTGGGCTCCCTTCTCTGGATTTGGATCCTCTCCCAGACAATGGTTTGAGATCCTCCTGATCAGACAACATGGATTGTTAGATTTTGATTCAACGGTTACAATTATTATAATTTTTAGAAAAACTTTCTGTTTGTAACTGTTAAATCAAAATTTAACAGTTCCTATTAACCAGTCACGAGGATCCCAGTCTTTGCCCCGGAGAGGATCCAAATTCCCTTTCTCTTCGTTCTCATTCCCACTTTACTTTTTGACTTTTCCACTTTGTGTTTGTTTGTTATTTATTTTTAATATATATACGTGTAGTGGGATATTATTAATAAATTAAATAAAAAAAATTTTAACTGAGATAATTGATGGCAACCCACGGTTATTCATTCATTCTGGGCTCAGAGAGGCTATAGAGAAATTTACCCTAACTCTTGGGTTGACACTTAAAATCTAGGTTTTAAACCAAATCAATCATTCTCCAATGGTTGGGTGTAGAATAAGTTGGGTTAAAACCTAAAATTTGGGCAAATTTAACTCTAAATACTGGACATGGTTAAAAGGCTGGTCAACCTTATGCGCGTGCACACATCCAGAAAAGTGGAGACCGCAGAAAGGCGATGCACCCAAAGCACGAGACCCGCAATGGTTGGCTGGAATTGGGGCATGCCCCTGGCAAGAATGTCGACCATCCAAAACGAGCTTAACAGCTCTTTTTCGATCCGACACTTTTAATTATTGGACTTTTGGTTGATCCTATAGTCCAGATTCAAACCTATCTAATTTTTAAATATATAAAACCCAACGACTAAGATCAAATATGATCAAATCTAGGGGTGGGTTTGGTTTAAATCGGTTCGGTTTTTTGCCAAAACCGAAACCAAACCGAAATTTCGGTTCGGTTCATTTTTTTCGGTTTTTTTCGTTTCGGTTTTTTTTTTCGGTTCAGTTTTTTCCGGTTCGGTTTCTGTATTTTGTTTTTTGTTTTTCAAAAAATGAAAAACATTGAAATTTTAAATTTTAACATATCCAACACAATCATAACATAAGCATTCTAACTAAAATCAAAGACAATGAAAATAAACATTTAAAGTTGAACTAAAATCATCAATCAAGTCTTCCAAAGTCCAAACTAACAACCTCACAACACAAAAATCGTACAAATGACTTAGAAAAGTTAAATTGTATGATGTTGTTCAAAGATCAGGGTTGTTTTTGCTTGTAACTGCATGTTGACAACTTGATTAGTAAAAGTACTGCGTGGGTGGATTTATTTAATGTGTGTTGGATTCTTTTTCATCACAAATTACCAAAATAATCTACCTGAAATAAATGTTTATGGATTATGTTACATGTTATATGAGAGTAGATTTGGAAAAGAAAAAAAGTTGGGGCAGAAGTAGACAGTGCTATGGAGATGGATGTAGGTACTTCAGGAGGAGGTTTGGTTCCGGAACCTTATATGGGGGAGAAATAATAGGTTAGGGTTTAGAGTTTTTATAGGCATTTTTTAAATATTTTGAGCTTAAAGTTTGGCAACACATTGGGTTTAACACATTTTAACTTACAAATTGGGTTTAGAAAATAATACCCAAAACAAATAATTAAATAAAAAATTTAATTTAATTAATTCGATTCGGTTTCTAGATCACTAAAACCGAACCAAAGTTTTTTCAATTCGGTTCGGTTTTTTTGTTCGGTTCGGTTTTTTCAGTTTCAATTCGGTTCGGTTTTCGGTTTTCAATTTTTCGAACCCACCCCTAATCAAATCTAACGGTAAAAAAAAATCTAATGGCCCAAAATCAAATCCAATGGCTAAAACAATTAAAAAAATTATTTAAATCAAAATTACCCAAAAACTCTATAAATACATCTTTCATGGATCAGTTTAGTGAATTTTCAACTTTTTATCGAAGTTTAAATATTTTAAGGTAAAAATGTCCATAGAAACAAATTATTATAATCTACATAAAATCTATTTTAAAAAAAGTTACCCAAAAAAAAAAAGCTTAAATTCATTATTTAAGAATCTTGAACTAAAATTTTAACCTCTAATCATTGGAGAAGAAAAATTGTTTATGGGTTAAAAATTTTAGATTTTAACTCAAATGTTAGAGATGATCTTAGGGGTTAGAGAGTTGGTGAGTATTTATTTTAAAATTGAGTATTATGACAAAGAAATAAAATTTGAGTATTTAACTTCTTCTCTTCAATCACTTATCGAGGTTGCTCAAACTTGCAAAGCAAATGTACTTCAAAATATTTTTTGAAATGAAGTAAAATTAAAATGGAGCTTTAATGAAAAGGGTTTGAGCCAACAAATATTTAACCAAAAACCATCCCAAAATGTTATTTAACCAAAAGGGCTTAAAGTTTAATAAAAAATCATCCAAAACTATTGTCCACGGGCCAACAAATATTCTACCGAGTCCATGCACCACCATAAGGACCAAAACTATTGGCACTATCTTGGGAATATCTCCGCCTCCTCGTCTTCTTGTTCCCTTCGTCTTTCCTTGAGCCACTTTCCTCATGCCTGCTCTCTCTCTCCTTGAACCATTTTCTTCACATCTGATCTTCTTCCCCACCTCCCCATTTTCTTTTCCCTTCTTACTTGACTTCTCTTTAAATGAAGCTTTCTTCTTCTTTCCTGATGATTGCCCACTGTCACCTGCAGCAGAATCATGTCCCCGCGGCAGGGGATCATCTTCATCATCTAACTGCCAATTGCCCGGTAATTCCCCAATTTCAAAAACAACCAAATCAAAGTTGAAAAATGAAGCATTCATTGGAACAAAGCAGCCGAAACAAGTTCAAAGAAGTTTAATGGCAAAAAGGGGAGAAAAAGTGTATGGAACAAATACAAAACCAAAACATAAAACTGTTTCAGGAGAACCCAAAACATAACACTGTTTTGGGGAAAGAAAAAAAAACCCCAGATACAGTGTTTGTTTTGTCTGTGCACTGCACAAACAAACACTGTATCTGGAAAGAAAAGAACCAAAATCCAAAAACAGTGACTTAAATTCCAGAACCAGAAGAAAGAGTTAGACGACGATTAAGGATTATTCATGTGTTCACTAAAAATGCTGGAATGAAAGTATAAGCGGGGCCTGCACAGAACAAGGATTGACTCCTGATTTTGGAAGAATTGGACTCTTTTGGGAGCTAGTATTTGATTCTTGGAAAACAAGGAATCAAAATTTATTATTTACACATTAATTTCTAAAATTTAAAAATTTACCCATTCACTTTAACCTAACACCTCTCAGGGCATTTTAGTAATTAAACTGGTTTCCATTCCGATTCTGGTGTATTAGTAATTTAGTACCATCTCGTCCATTCTTAGTCCACTCTCGATTCAAGATTGACTAGGTCAGTTCATTAGGGTTTAGGGTAATAAGTTTTTAAAAGACAAATGCAAAGTAGTAAGAATTACCTAATCATGTAGTCAATTAATATAGCAGCTTTTCCACTGTGAGCTCTATTTCTCCTGTCACATTAACAGAGGTTTTAAATAAATAAATAAGAGAGAGAGAGAGAGAGAGATTAACTGGATATGTCAGTCAAATCTGGTTTGCAACTTCCTCCCTCAAATTTCAATAATGACTGCAGCTCCTTTACCTTCTCATGAATCTATTATGGTCACTCAATTAACTTAGTAATCAACTACTATCACTGCTTGAAGCATGCTATAGTAATAGCTAGGTGAGACTCATGAGATGATGAGACTAAGGTGACAAAATTACAACAAAGCTTAGCGTTTGTAAGGCACTCACTTTACATGTTTAGCATCTCTAAGGCACACATAGACCATTGAATACCTTTAAAGCTGTTAAGAAATATATATTCCCATCAACAGATTTCACAAATGTTCAGGAAATAAATATATTTGAGTTGAGGAAAAGATAAATGATGAGATGTATGTCCAAATTCCAAATTATCATCTGTTGATATTCAATTGTTTGATTAGTATTTAACTAATAAAAGATAGTAGATCAAGATTTCCTTTAGGAGTTATGTGCAAACGAAGAATTCCAAATTATCTTCTGTGCATATATTCACTACTAAGATATTCAAGAATTAAAAGAAGAGAAGAAAGAAAGTCTATAACAAAGCATGCAGAACACGATCACAAAACACAAGCTCTTAGTTCTGTGACAAATTCAGTTCAGAAAACCAGTCTTCTTTTCTCCAAATAGCACAGCATTACTATACCTCCTGTCGAGCAACACAACTCATCAACCCGTACATGCAACCCAAAAAATCTAAGCAACACCTAATCATGGAAAGAAAAAAAATACAAGGACCACTTCCAAGCAATTTTGGCAACCAATGTGATAAGAATTTCCCATGTCATAGAGTCATACCTCAAATCTATCAAAAGCCGAAAAGAAAACAAAGAAACCCCTGTCGTAGAGTCATACCTCAAAAACATTGACGGTGAAAACTTCCCAACTTTTGAGCAACTGACAGAGCAATACTGCAGGAAGATCCCTGGTCAATTCCAAAGTTTAGACAGTTCAGAAACTAGAGACTACCGACAAAGAAAAAAGGAAACTTAAAGTTAACGGATAAGCAAAACTTCCAATTTCAGTATTATGAGGAACATAAATGATAAAAATATGTAAAACAAAATAAAAAATAAAAAATGGAATGACATCTAGCAAAACATGGAATAGAGAAAGTGAGACTCATCTAAATTGAGACTAACTATCATGGTGCTTAAATAAGAATGAAACAGCAAAGCATAAATATTAATAAATAAAATAATTTAAAAAAAAAATAAAAATAAAAAACTATGCTTCTCAACAATTTCAGGCAAAGTAAACCATGCATGCAACTGAAACATGAGACCTACTTCAGTGCATCTGAATTTTTTAGGCCACATTACTTACCTCACTTTGTGAACTACCTGACAAATTAGGTGTCCCTTTCGGGAGCTCAAATTTTGTTCAAGCACACGGTGATCACTTGACAAAGATGTAGCAAAACTTTTTCCCACTCCAGTGAGATTATCATTATCAGAAGCCAATGAGTTGTAAATATCTGGATCAAGCACCTCGCAAAATAAGTCTAACAATTGAATTTTGTCGAACTTCCCAGCTTCATATAAGCACTGCAAAACACTTGTGTGTCAAAATACAGAAAATACAAAAATAAGAAATAAAAAGAAGAAATAAACACTAAACAGTGTTCCTTCGCTCATCAGACATTAGATACAAAAATTCAGCTTGAGGTGCCAAAACCTGTAAAAACATATCAAAATATGCATTTAGGCTTACAAGTTGGAAGATGTTAAGCTTAGGAATGTTGAAGGCTTGAAGCACTAATAATTAGTATCTGTATAAAAATAAAATATAAAAAAGTAGTCACCAGAACTACAGTGCTCCAGAGCATCTGCAATCTCTTCGACTCTGTCAAACCATGAGCTATATTGATATCAGTTTGTTCAGCCAATTGATCCCTGGTGACAGAATTTCCATCAGATGTCAGAACGTTATCTTTTTCATCCACATTTTGAACTCATCCTTTACTAAAAATGTAAAAACATTATTAAATCTTAGGATTACGATTATCTTCCATGACATAAAACTTTGGAAGCACACTTGATCACTTTCTCATTCTGAGATCCATTCAATGGCCAGATTACATCTTTGTAAAAATATGCAAAACATCGTTTGGCATTGGGTTGGGGGAGGTTGGAGAAAACTTATCATGGATGCATGGTGTTTATACCATATTTAGGGCCTCGTATTTAGACATTGTATAAATACTCGATGGACTTAAATGTAATTATGTAATAAAGGAAGGGGCGAATATGTAACAAGTGAGGAGTCCTTATTCTATAAAAGGACCCCTCACCCTCACAATTGGAGGCTCATTCTCACCCTCAGAGGCCATTTCTGGAGCCTTCTCACCCCTCTCACATTCCCTATCATATTCAGAGGTTCTTTCCCTCACCTCTCAGATAAATACATAATCAGTGTGGGCGTAGCCCAAACCTTGGGATGAACCACGATACATCTTGTGTTATTTACATTACTTGCAGATTCACAGTCGGATTTACGTTGTTCCAAGACCTCCGGTTTTGTGCATCAACATTTGGCGCCGTCTGTGAGAATCGACACGAAAAACTATGTCGGTTCTCTTTCATTTTTTCACTTCCACCATGAATCTACAGAATCTGCAAAATCTGCAAAAACCCATGAACCCAAAGCTTTCCTAAAAAACCTAGAAACAGAAGAAACCAAATCTCTCTCTCTACTTAAACAGTGCGGGAAAAGTTGGTGACGTATCTGGCTCCGCCTCCACCAAGCAGCAAAGATCTTGGCCTCTGCTGAGATGAGCTCCTCCAGTCACCTGCGTCATCAAATCCTGCTCGGCGTTGCTGGACCTTTACTCTGGCGAGCAAGCTCACCAGCAGGCGTTGGTCTTCGGCTTTGCATCCGACCTCTTTATTGAAGCTAGTAAATAAAAAAACCCCATCCGTCTCTCTCTCTCTCCTCTGTCTGCCTTTTTACCAGTCGAAAATGGCTGCCATGCACACCTCCACCACATATTCTCCAACCCATAAATCCCCAATTGACACCCCAAAAATCCACTCTCCTCACCTTCCTGCACTTTCTGATCGAACACGAACTCCGCCATGGCTATGCAGAGCGGAATAGGGGTTTCCAAGATCCTGATCTTAGCTGGGGCAGGGTATACTGGCACCATCCTTCTTAAGAACGGTAAATTATCCGAGTTGCTCGGTGAACTTCAGTCATTGTTAAATGGATCCGGGGAACACGCAGACGGTGACTATGATTCCCTCACAGCGCAGATTAGCCGAATGACAGCTGAGATCAGGCAATTTGGCTCGTCGCGTGGCGGGGGAACGGTTTTTGTGAATGGGAACGGTAGCCAAATTGGTAATATGACATCACTAATAATGCCAGCAGCTACCTTGGGAGCAGTGGGTTATGGATACATGTGGTGGAAGGGTCTAAAATTCTCAGATATGATGTATGTGACAAAGCGTGGTATGGCTACTGCTGTTGAGAATTTGACAAAAAATTTGGATAACGTGAAAGAGGCTGTTGCTAAAGCAAATAAGCACCTGACGCAGAGAATTCAACATGTGGATGACAAAATGGCAGAGCAAAATAAGCTCTCAAGGTCAATTAATGAAGATGTTGCTGGAGTGCAACATTCTTTCACTGATATTGATTATGACTTGAGTAGATTGCAAAGCATGGTTTCTGGTTTGCAGCAGCTCAAACGTTTTCAAAAGTTCAAAATATGGAGTCTTTAACGAGAAAAAGGGAGAATTTGCAGAAGAAGAGGATTGGGCCCGTCAAGTCTTCAGCTGACGATGGCGGTGGAGGAAGTGAGTCGCTCACCGATTTGAGCGGCGATGACTTGAGAGAGACTAGCAGTACGAGCCGATCCCAGTCCTCATGATTCTCAGGGCACTGATGAATCATCATCTCAATTTACGGGAAGCAGGACCTTAGTTGGAAAAGAATTTAGTGAGTCTATGATCTGTCAACCTGAGTTAGCAGGGACCAAGTCTCGTGAAGAACCAGATCCTGATAATATGGATATTATGGAAAGCAGGGGGCAAGCAAGGAATAATGGACGAACCTGATCCTGATGCCGATGATGCAACAAGCAGATTAGATATGGCTTTCTTTAATCGTCCAGCTGCTTTTGAAAATTGTGTAAAGAAAAAGTGGTGCAGTCATGGAGGGGTCATGTGCTCACAAAGAAGAAAAGCAAAAGCACTAACAGAAGCAATGCTATTGGCAGATTTAGATCAAAATCCACTGCGCTTGCGCCTGCGCAGGAAAAGAAAGTGAAAAGAGAAAGCAAAAGGGAAGCACATGGGGACACTGCAAAAGCAAGGAATAAACACCCCACCAGAATGATATGATTTACTTTTCTTGGCAGATGTATGATGTGATTTATTTTTCGTATTTTTCAGAGATATCTGTATAAACCCCATCATAGGGTAAAAATAAAAAAATAAAAAAGGCAAACCCCAAAATAAATGGGTTGGAATGTTGTGTAGAGGACGAATGCCCATAAGCCTAAAATAACACCAACCAGGTCATCAAAAGTACGCCCAGTACTCCACAATTATTCGGCAAACTGCCGTTATTACCACCAACCTGGTGATGAAATGTACAACCCGTACTCTAAATATCATTTGGCAACTAGCCATTCATGCCACTAACCCGGTGATGAAATGTACAACCCGTACTGTCCTTCATGCCACCAACCAGGTGATCAAAAGTATGCCCAGTACTCCAAATTATACATGAGCACTACTCATGTCATTCATACATAAACATTCATGAGCATCACTCATGACAATCATACATAAATATTCATAACCATCATTCATGTCAACATTCATGAGCATCACTCATGTTAACATTCATAAGCATCACTCATGACAACATCCATGAGCATCACTCATGTCAATCAAACATTCATGAGCATCACTCATGTCAATCAGCTTCAAAAGCTTCATTTACAAAAGCTCTAGCTTCAAAAGCTTCATTTACAAAAATTCTAGCTTCAAAAACTTCATTTACAGAGCTACAGCTTCAAAAGCTTCATTTACAGAGCTCTAGCTTTAAAAGCTTCATTTACAGAGCTCTAGCTTCAAAACTTCACTTGCAAAAGCTTCACTTACAAAGCTTCAGTGCAGGGTATACAAATACCGCCTTCGAACAACCGCCACTTCGGCCCATATATGGATTCAATTTGAAGTCTCCAGCCAACAGATTCTATTGACCGAAGACTTGGGGGACTACATTAGTTACCATATATTGAGCCTCAACTGGGCCTCATGAAAAATACTTAGGGGACTGAGCCTGTTACTTATGTATTGAGGAGCGAGACCTTATTTTATAAAAGGGACTCCTTCACCATCATTAGAGAGCAACGCCGCCAGCTGAGCAACTGTCTCGCCGCGAGCATCACTCCTAACCCATCACTTATGTATTGAGGAGTGAGCCCTTATTCTATAAAAGGGACTCCCTCACCTTCAACGCCACAAGCCGAGCCAACCAAGGCAACATAAGCCACGAGCCGAGCAGCCTCGCGACATGTGCTATTTCTAGTTTAGCATCATTTCAGATTGAGCACCGCCTCATATCAAGCATCAGTTCAAGACAACATCTAGTTACTTCGGCCCACACATGGGCTGAATTTCAAGTCTCCAGCCAAAAGACTCTCTTGACTGAAGACTTGGGGGACTACTGTTTATACCATATTTAGGGCCTCGTATTTAGACATCGTATAAATACTCGATGGACTTAAATGTAATTATGTAATAAAGGAAGAGGCAAATATGTAATTAGGAGATGAGCCATTATTCTATAAAAGGGCTTCCTCACCCTCACAAACCCTAAGCCTCTCACCTCCTCTCAAAGCTCTCACATTACAGAGCTCCTTCTCTCTCTCCCTCAGATAAATACATATTCAGTGTGGACGTAGCCCAAACATTGGGGTGAACCACGATACATCTTGTGTTATTTACATTACATGCAAATTCACGGTCGGATTTACGTTGTACCAAGACCATCCAGTTTTGTGCATCAACACATGGTATTATAAAATAAAATTAATAAAATCACAAAGAACGCAAGCAGGGAGCAATAATCGCCAAATTGGTTATTGTTGCTTTCATGGACATTCCAACGTGTGCATATCTGATTGCATATAAATACATCAATACATAAACCAAATGTTCTGTGTCAAAAGACCTTTCCTTCCAGAATCCAAATCCAAAAAAGGATCATGAAGGGATCTGTTACCAATTATCCACTTTGTTACAGTTCAGTAGAGTACAAAAGGGAAAAATACTTCTCTTTTGTCAATTAAATGAAAAACCTAAATAAGAGATGGCAGAAAAGGAATATGAGTTCAAATGTGGGTATAAGTCATGCATCCTGCTCGAATGCTATTTATCAATGTATAACATTGTAAACATGGTGGACACAAGGAGGAAAGTGATACTTCATGGATGCTAACCTTGCTGCCTTCTTTAACAAGCAATCGACCAAGTATGAAGCTTAAAGGCTCCGAGGAGAAATGTTGGACAGATGCTATCTAAAGAAATACATTTTTACATCAGCAGGGGCCTAGTCATGATGGCAAAAGAACATGAGAGGAAATGCAACAACTTAATTACCAACCTTCAAAGCCCTAATAAAAGATGCCAGTGTACCATCCTGATTGAAGAAGTAGTTTCGCAGAAACATAGCCACCTTGTGACCCATAGCGAAACCAGAGCAGCACCTCACAAGAGCAGCCTCAACAACTGCATCCATCCTCTCAGCTGGTGATCCCAAAGTGAACATGCAAAGGCACAACTTCTTCAGCACATTGAAGGAAATATTCTTGGGGCATCCAACGTTGTTGCAACTCCCATTATTAAAATGACTGGGATCTTGACAACCCATTCACTGATACAAATAGTGGACCAAGTTACAAGCCCAGGTAAGCAAAATCTTGTACTCACAGAGGATGGACGGAGAGTATCTGTGTTGTTTATTGTATAAGCAAAAAGTGAGGGTTGGGGTTAGAATACCTCAACATAAGAATGAAATCAGACAAGACAGGACTAGAACATCTTTCCATGTCGTTTATAATGACAACCACCGGAGAACCATAGTTTCCGTGCTGGCTGTACCATGATGCCAATAGGGACATATCACCTGCCTGAGTAAAATAAAATAAATTAAATTGAGTAAGTATCTACTTGTTGTATAATTTAAATTGAAGGGACGAAGAAAGGTAAATACTTACATCAAAAGAGCGCATCAAAAACTGTCTCAATAAACTTGAAAGACAACCAGCAATCCCATTCTTCGGTGAAAAGTCGAGAGAGGAAAGGTTAGCGACATGGCATCCGTGAGATTTCAGGCTGAGGCCAAGCTCTTGAAATGTCGAAAAAACGTCAACAAACTCCATATTCCCTGTCAGTAATGAGTCAATCGGTCAACTCAATCAACTCAAGTTGGAAATAAGATAAATTAAAGGGAAGTTTAACGAAAAGCACCGGTACTGTTTATTTTAACGAAAATCCACATTTTTACACTAAAAAGTCAATCCTAATACCGTTCATTTTACCTTTTATTTTCTCCTTCTCATTAAAAGTTTTCAAGTTATTTTCATTATTTTTCCTTAAATTAAAAGGGAAGAGATGTTGAAGAGCAAAAGCATACCGGTGAGAAGGAGCGCAGTGAAGAGCTGTGCACAAGAAGTAGCGTGCGTGACAATCGGAAAAGTGCCGAGAGGAGAAGGGATGGGAGCAATTGGCTTCATAGCACCGAAGGAATCGCATACCCAGCTGTGTATCGGGTTGAAAACCTGAGCATTCATATTCCTCAGAACGTCCTTGATGGAGGATTCGATTCCTGACCAAACTAACTGAAATGCTTCCATTCGCAAGCAGCCCTCGTCGCCTTCCTTAAGCTTTGTTGGGCATAGGTCGAGCCTCTTTCGGGCTTTCCCACCAGAAGTTGATTTTTCTGTGAAGAACAAAGAAATGCTGCTTAATTATAAAATTAGACAAGATTTGTAGAGATAGAAATAATAAAGCATAAATAAACACAAACGGAAGGGAACGCAAGGGACCTGGATGTTGTTTTGGGCGGCATCGGGGCTTGATGGGGGCGGTGAATCACCCGCACTTGCAGATGCAGACCCCATTGATGCTCTTCTTTTCTACACTCTACATAATTAGCCATATCTTTATTTTATTTTTTATTTTTTATGGAAAAAGGCTACATAATTAGCCATATTTAGGGTTTCATAACCCACCCCCAATAGGTTCTCTGACCTCTCCGACCCTGTCTTCCTTTTTGGCGGGAAAATAAAAAATTACTACACCCTTTTAATAGCTATTATTATGACATTTTTTTTTGTGGTAAAAAAAATGCAACACAATGACATCCACCGTAGTATTACTCTTGTTTAATTTCGAGTTTTTATGGGATCTAGCTTAATTTAGAGCTATGATATGGTGCAGTGCATGTGAGTTAATACGATAGTATCTTCTATTATGACATATTTACAAACATGAAAGAGAAAAAGAAAGAATTCGAGTTATGAAAAATTTGAGTATAAACAAAGTATTCACATTAAAGTGTTTATTAGTTGTCGGCAATCATAAATGAAGCTAAATTTTAATATACATGGTATACACTTAAATCTGAATTTCTCTTTTTATAGCTTATGTAAATTTCGTGTAAAATACTACAATCTCTTCTTACACCTATTGGTACGCTCATCAATGTTGCTTATGTCGTCTAGTTGTCTTATAACTTTTTTAGTGGAGTGATAAGGTGGCGGAGTATGACTTTCTCCCTTCCTATCCCTCCCCCTCATCCTCTCACATTTTTCATTTTGTCTTTATCTATAACAAAATAATATAGATATTGACGTGACTTAATCATGATATGATTGAAGTTTAATGGATAATTTTCAAATTTCAATGTATATTGAAGATAAAAGTGAATGATATTTTTTATTTGATGGGGATCAGAAGGGGACTATATGTGAAGGAAGTTCATCCCTTCTAATCTTATTATTTTAAGGAAGATTAAAATGCAAGGGTGGAATTTGCAAATTTTCAATAGGTGGGCTAGCTAAAAGTTATTAAAATAAAAGGAAAACTTGATAGGGATTATTGGCACTCCAAAAATCTCATTATACACTTCAAACTTTCTATATTTAGAAAAAAAAAAATACACTTGTGAGGAGTGTAAAATGAGATTTTTTTAGTGCCAATAACACTTCTCAACTTGATATAAGTCCAATTTTTTGAGCCAATAGTATAAATAGTCCAATTTGTTATATTAATTATTTAATTACCAATAGCTATCTATTCAATGATAAGATTTATTATAAAAATCAAATTTATTCCCAATTATCTCTTTGCTTTTTTTTTTTTGTTATTTATCGTTCTTCCTCCTGCTTTAAACCCCATTTATAGATTTTATTTTTAATTTTTATAATCAACTTATATCACTGGTTAATTATATTTATCAACCTATATGACAAATTCTTTTTTTATAATCAACCTGTCATAAATTAATTTGTCTTGCTTGTAGGTATGTTATGTTTTTTTCTACCTTTTAATTAGGTTTCATATCTCACGTATATGTATAATATAGGTTCATATATTTGTTACTTGAGTTAGGGTATAACGTTTTGCACATAAATTTATGTTAGTAAATTAGTATTTTTTTTATAAGATATTAATTAGATTTGTTGGAGTTGGAAAATGCATAATATTTTAATATTTTAATTGATTTTTAATATATTTATAAAACATAAACTGTGTCACATCCTGGCCCGGGCCCCCACCACATCCCGGGCTCGACTCTGCCGTAACACGATATTGTCCATTTTAGGTACAGATGGGAATATACATATAAAGGCTTACAGGATCCACTCCCCTGAGCGATGTGAAATGTTACAAAATGAGTATAAACGAAATAAAAACATATAATTAGATAACTTGACTCACTCCTAAAAACACTCTATGTTTTTTGGTCTAGATATTTTGTAGTGAAAGAGGAAAGAGGGAGAGAAAAATACCTGCCAAACAGAGAATTTCATTATATGAAAATATACTTATTTTGAAGACAGATTGATGAAAAAATGCAAATTGAGGATTTGATTAAAAAACTTATATATATATATATATATAATATAATCATTATTTTGACAATCCGACGATGATTGTGTTACACACGTATATTCATTTGAACTATATTTGACCATCAAATGATAATGATATTAAACATATGTAAGTATTATAGTCAGTCCTGCAAATTGGGGAGTTAAACAATTAATGCTAGGATTTGGCTCATTAACATGAGAAAGACCCAATGGGGTAGGAGGAGAGATTTTTCAGTGTGTTTGGAACACGAGTGCATTCTTCATGTGTCATTCATTATACAAGTGGAGGAATACTTGAAAAAACTAACTTCCCCCACTTGTATAATAACATATAGCATACCATCCTATGTTTCGGGCACATTAAAAAATATCTCAGGTAGTAGATGGTTGTTGCAGCGAGTGTGGTATTGAGAGTGGTGATGGCAACATAGATGTCAGTGGTGATACTTTGGTGGGGGTGGTGGCTGTGACGGAGGTGTAACCTGTAAATGTTAGTGGTAATGGTAAGACGGTGGCAGAGGTGATGTGGGTGAGGTGGCGATGATGAAACAACAAAGGTGGTGGTGGCGACCATGTAACAACCCGCCTCGATTTTATCGAAATGAATGGGGTATTTTCGTGAAATTTCACCTTAGGCTATATATTTTTCCTTTAAAATTGGTTTTTTGAGTCTTAATTGGTAAGCCCAAGGGGCCCATCCCTGATTTGTGTCCCCAGTTCCTCTCTTCCCTGTGGACTCATCTTTCTCCCTTAACTCTCTTTTTTCTCTTTACTCTATCTTTATCCTTTTCTCCCCCTCTCACCGTAGTTATCCCTCATCCTTTTTCGAGTTCCACTTAACCAACCACAACCCACACCACCTAAGCGTGGAGACATTGAAACTGAGGACTTGAAGGCGTGATACTCCAACAGTGGCAGTGTCACTATGCATCTTTGTCCCCAAACGAACTCCAGTGAGTTTCCATCACCTCAGACGTGGGTGAGCTTCGATAACACTCTAAACCTCCCCCTTTTTATCTTCATAATTCATTTATGATCGTATCTGTGTGTTTTGGTTGTCGAAACTACAAAGAAACACATCAGGGAGACTTTCCTAGACTCCAGCGAGGAACTTGTCACTTTCGAGTCAATTTCCGGCCAAACCACAACGAGTTGGCTAGCATGCAACATATCAATCTCTTCATCTCGTTAAGTACTACAACTTTCCTTTTTGTGTCACCCAATTTCGTTGAGTATTGAGGAAGTTATATGCATTTGAATTTTACCCAGTTTTCCGGTGACCTCCGTGGCTTTTGAGGTATTTTTCAGCCAAACCACGGCAAGTTAGACGTCTTGCGAGGTACCATTCTCTTGGTCTTATCAAGAACTACGATTTTCGTTTTTGAATTATTCGATTTCGTTGAGGATTGACAAAGTTATGAACGGTTAAAGTTTGTTTAATTTCAGGCCAAATTCCGGTCTTATCCTTCGACTAGGTCCGGTGACCTCCATGCCAAGAAGCCAAGTCCTCGGGCATTTTCTCAAAACACCACGGGCCTTAGGCCCTTTAAGCACCAACCCTTTACCCTCTAATCCCTAAACCTAACTTTAAGCCCAACCTAATTACCTAACTCAACCCAAAACCCAATTGAAGTAAGGCATTTGGGCCATTTAGAACTCGAGCCTTAGGCCTGTGACCCCCAAAGCCCGAACCCATTTAATTATTTAATTCCTAAAAACCCAAAGACATTGGGTTGGGCTTTCAAGCCCAATACCATTTAAACCCTAAAATCCATGGAACCCAAACTCACTCCTTTAAGCTATAACCCATTAACCTAACCTATAACCCTAGCCCAAGTCCTTACTAAACCCTAAACCCTAAACCCTAACTGATCCAAACCCTTTATGGGGAATATTCCATTAGGGAATATTCTATTAGGAAATATTCCGTCATGGAATATTCAAGGAATATTCTGTTGACTTTTACAAAACTTACCCGGAACTCTCTTAGGGTAATTTGACGTCCTAAATCCGTTTCCGATGTCCGTTTTCCCAAATTAAATTGTTATAATAGAGTTTTATTTATTGGACCCTTTATGTGTTTAGGGGCAATTATTGTGACGTTTTCGTCTTTGCTAGTTTGCGTGGCTCTTCAGTGGCAAAGTATCTGTGAGTGGACCCCTTCTAAAAATGCATGTTTTGATAGTATAAATGTATACATGAAAAGTATGATTTAAAGATTATGAATAATGAAACGCTTTAAGATAACATGTTTACTGAGACTATTTTGAATTATTATTATTATTCCTATAACCCGTGTTATTGTAGCATATCTGATGGATGACGATATGATATTTAGAACATGTTTCGAACACCTCTTTATAGTATAGATGATGAATGACTTTATTCTATGAAGTTGTTTTTCAATATATGTATGTTCAATGGTTTTGTACTTACCTAGTGGTCCTTATTCCGCTAAGGGACGTAGGGATAGATTCCAGTCCGTCCTAGGCGATGGTTATGGTGTTCGCATAAGGTCTGAAGTGTTTTTCCTCTGGCTATTAGCATAGGGACGGGGAGCTGGCATATGGCCTGGGGGTTATTTTCCTCTGACTGTTTGCTAAGAGACGAGAAGCCAACATGAGGCTTGGAAAGTTATCGAACATTCACTAGTGGTTATTATATATACAAGTTATGATTAGAGACATTGCATGGCATGCTAGGTTTCGGAAAACCTATATTTATCATGATATATATGTATTTTCATAAAAAGTTAGGGTTAGTACGTTGGTAATGGTTTTAGTATATATATATATATATATCTATATATATATATATATTAACTTGGTCCACTTATGTTTGTTTTGTGCCCCCTTCAGGATTTAGAATCAAGGCATACAATCCCGACGTTCATGCACTTTCGCATTGACATCTTTGAGTCCTCTCAGTGTAGGATCCATCATTTATTTCATTCAATTTTATATTATTTCTTTTAGTGTTTTAGTTAGTTGTATGCTCTGAACACGTTTCTTAAATGCATATTCATTATTTTTTTATATTTATAAGTCTTATCTATTCCTTGTTTTCAGCATTTGCACTCAATAAATAGCTTTCGTCACCCTATGGTGTCGGCCAGCACGTGCCTATCCTGGTATTTGAGGAATATCGGAATCGGGGCGTGTCAGGCCAGGTTGTGCTAATGATAGTGACGACGGTGGTGTCATATATAATTTTATTTTTTCATAAAAACTCTAAATACCTTTATTTTTATTGTACCAAGCATATTGTATCAAGTATGATGTTCTATCAAGTAGATCGTATCTAGTCAACAATATGTTTCACATATTTTTCACTAACATGCAAAAAAAAAAAAAAAAAACCGTTAACGTAACGTAATTTTCCCTGCGACAAAACCGAAAAAAGATTCCCTCAGAAAAAACAAACGAAACAGGAGAAATCGTTCTTAGTTCCCACTTTGCCAGTGAGTTAATGTCTCCAGATTCATTGAATTGAAATATGGTTTGTATGAAAATTTAGGAGGATGCCCTTACGAATTCGATCAGGAATACTCAATAGTGAGGAGGAGGATCGAGGATCGAGGATCGAATTCATTCCCAGAAGAGGGAGAATAGATGGGTTGGGGTTGGGCAATCTACGAGGGAGTGGTGGCGTTGGGATCGCTAGGGCTGCTGGGATGGGCGGGGCTGTGGTTCTTGAACCGAAGGCTCTACAAAGAGTACGAAGAGAAGAGGGTCTTAGTTCAGATCATTTTCAGCGTCGTCTTCGCCTTCTCCTGCAATCTTCTGCAGCTCGTCCTCTTCGAGATCATCCCCTTTCTCTCGCAAAGGTTTTTTTTTTTTTTTTTTTTCATTTTCCTTTTCTGTTTTCAAGGAAACTATAATTTCATGATTGATTGCATAATTTAATAATTTGCATTTGCGTTTGATTTCTATAAAATAAATACATAAAATTGTTTGATTTGGTTGCAGGGCCCGGTGGCTCAACTGGAAGCTCGATTTGTTTTGTCTCATACTGTTACTGGTTTTCATGTTGCCTTATTATCATTGTTTCTTGATGCTCTGCAACAATGGTACGCCTACCCACTGCCTCTACGGCCCCGTAGCCTCTAACAAACACCTTGTACTACCGTACTTACTAGTTTACGAAAATTTAAACTCCAATCGTATCATCTATTCATCTCAGGGTTTCGGAAGGAACGCGCTGCTCTTGGATCCTTCTTATTCTTGCTCTCCTTCCTTTATGCTTTTTGGCGCATGGGCATTCACTTCCCTACGCCTTCCCCCGATAAAGGCTTCTTCACCATGCCTCAGTTGGTCAGTCGCATTGGCGTTACTGTCATGGCTGTCTTGTCCGGTTTTGGAGCTGTCAATTTGCCCTATAGTTACTTATCTCTCTTTATCCGAGAAATTGAGGAAACTGAGATCAAGTCCTTGGAAACACAGCTCATGCATTCCATCGAGACTTGTATTGCTAAGAAGAAGAAAATCATTCTTTCTCAAATGGAGATGGAACGCATTCAAGGACCAGAAGAGGTTCTCTTCACTATCCTATACTTTTCTGTTTCCAAAGTGTTAAAACTCGTGCACCTTGATTTCTATACTTTTATCGTATTTCAATGTGCTAACTCTATCATAATCTTATTCTGTTGTTCTAATTGGTGTTACTTAGAAACTGCATTTTGTATTAGCATATCTTTAAGGGTTTAGCCGACCCCACTTAGTGGGAAAAGGCTTTGTTGTTGTTGTTGTTGTATATCTTTAAGGGTTTAGTTTTTAGCAGTGTTTATAAACCTAATCCTGACTTGTGCCTAATTAAATTTATAGTTGCAGAAATTAAAAGCTAGATCTTTCTTTAAAATAATTGTTGGCACTGTTGTGCAATCTGTGCAAGATGATCAAAAGGAGCAAGGTTGGTATTGCTCTATGTTTTTCCTTATGATAAGATCTTGCATATTTTCTTTTGAAAGAAATGATTGCTTAACTTTTAAATTTCTCTAATACTTCTCTAGCCGTGTTATTTGCATGCATTGAGACCTACTAGATATGTTGTCGTATTAAGCTTTCCAGACCATCAACATAGTGCCATTACTCTGTAAGGACGTCATAGTTGTCTTATTTCACTTATCTCCCCCCCCCTTCCCCCCTCTCTTCCTTCCCCTTTTCTTTTTGGTTACACAGATATCAGAAACATGGAAGCAGAAGTGCTAGCATTGGAAGAGCTTTCAAAGCAGCTATTCCTGGAAATATACGAGCTTCGTCAAGCAAAGGTTTACTTCCAGTTCTGTAATTTCAGTTATAGGATATAAATTTTAAATGATTCCCTATGGGGCTGCTGACCTATGTGATTGTTTGCACTGAACCATGCATCTGTTATTTTAGGTACTACAATTTTCATAAACTTTTGCTAAAATGCACCTCAGCCATTATGGTTTTTTTTTCAACCTGGGTGCAAGACTGGAACTTATGTGCTAGCTTGGATGAAGGGAAATTTCTCTTAAAAACCATTAAGAATTCATGGCGATAGTTTTTTAAAAACCATTGTCTCTTAATTGAAGGTGTTACAACTTACAAGTGAAGATTTCTGAATTGGAAATTTGTGTAGGCTATTTAAAACTCAATTCCATGAGCCATTCAAGAGTGTAATAAAAAAAAAAAAAGGTAAAGAAGATTTATATGAACCACGGGCTGTTTTAATACTTTAAACCTGTGCCTGATTGAAGTTGTATGAACTTAAAGTCTTACTTGACAGGAGGCTGCTGCATATTCTCGAACCTGGAAGGGTCATATGCAGAACCTACTAGGTTATGCATGCTCTCTACTGTGTATATAAATGGGGGTAAGGCTAGCCGACATTCACCTCTCCCAGACCCTGCGTAAAGCGGGAGCTTTGTGCACTGGGTACGACCTTTTTTGAGGTTGTTTGAATTGAAGATACTTTAGTTACATAGTTTGCCAACATTAATTTTATTTTCTTCATGTTAACAAAGAGGGAAAGTTTCAAACTTGTCCAAGTGTTTCTTGAAGTTACTATTGATTTTTGGAATAGTGCCTGACTACTTTTAATTTCTCCGTGCAGTCTTTGCAAAGTGTTGTTTTCAAAGAGGTAGTTCTTTCATGTCTCATGTATTACCTATAATCACTTGCTTACATGTCTGTTTCTGATTTCTACCCTATTAGTTTCCATTTTTGTTTTCGGTAAATAGTAATACGTTCTCTGACAGGCTGGCTCTGTGGATCCTGTGACGATGACAATTAGCATATTCTTGCAGTTCTTTGACATTGGTATCAATGCAGCCTTGCTATCACAGGTTAGCTAGCTTAACATTTACACCTTCATTGGCAGACCCTTTGGTTTCTATCTAAACCTGCATGCTTGCAGTTAAATCATATATATTGGTGTTTTCCCCTCTCAATGGACAAACTTGCAGTTACATAATATTTTACTTTTGTGATAATGTGGACTCCCATTTTTGTGGTACAGACTATATGCAAATCACAGTTTCAAACAATTATAATCCTGATTTTGGCCTTATTTCATTTGGGCTATTTTTCGCGTGACATTTTTACTACTATGGATTGCAAATATGCAGTTGAATCTTATGATATAATCTTATTAGTGGTTGATTTATTGAACACATGGTTGACACTTCATTTGTTCTCATTTGTCTAGATACCAAAGAAGGAGAGTTGGATATCTATAAATTAGCTAGAGCAAGGGAAAAGAAGACAAAGGACCTAAACCAAGTGAGGTGCATCAAGGATGAGGATGGAAAGGTTCTTGCTACAGAGAACGCGGTTAAAGACAGATGGAAAGGTTATTTTCATAATCTTTTCAATGAAGGACATGAAAGGAGTGCTTCTTTAGGGGAGTTGAGTAACTCAGAAGAGTGTAGAAACTACTCTTTTTATCGTAGAATCCGGAATGAAGAAGTGGTTGTAGCTTTGAAGAAGATGAAGCATAGAAAAGCAGTAGGCCCAGACGATATACCAATCGAAGTGTGGAAAGTTTTGGGAGAGACAGGTATAACATGGCTCACTGACCTTTTCAATAGGATTTTGAAAACGAAGAAGATGCCAAATGAGTGGCGAACGAGCACTTTGGTGCCTATCTACAAGAATAAGGGCGACGTACAAAATTGCATGAACTATAGGGGTATTAAGCTAATGAGTCATACAATGAAGCTCTGGGAGAGAGTCATTGAGCATAGATTGAGGCAAGAGACACGGGTTTCGGACAACCAATTCGGGTTCATGCCAGGGCGCTCAACCATGGAGGCAATCTATCTCTTACGAAGATTGATGGAAAGATATAGAGATGGGAAAAAGGATTTACACATGGTCTTTATAGATTTGGAAAAAGCGTATGATAGGGTCCCAAGAGACATTCTTTGGAGGATTTTAGAGAAGAAAGGAGTACGAGTAGCATATATCCAAGCTATAAAGGATATGTATGAAGGAGCAAAGACTGCCGTAAGAACTCATGAAGGACAAACCGAAAGCTTTCCCATAACTGTAGGATTACATCAAGGCTCATCCTTAAGTCCTTACCTTTTTGCGTTGGTAATGGATGAGTTAACAGGACATATTCAAGATGATATTCCTTGGTGTATGCTTTTCGCAGACGATATAGTGTTGTGTTGATAGATGAAACTCAGGAAGGGGTAAATGCAAAGCTTAACCTTTGGAGAGAAGTGCTGGAATCTAAAGGTCTTCGCCTAAGCCGATCAAAGACAGAATATATGGAGTGCAAGTTCAGTGCAAATGGAGGCCAAAACGAGTTAGGGGTGAGGATCGGAGATCAAGAAATACCAAAGAGCGACCGTTTTCGTTACCTAGGATCTATCTTGCAAAAGAACGGAGAATTAGATGGAGATCTCAACCATAGAATACAAGCTGGATGGATGAAGTGGAAGAGTGCATCCGGCGTGTTGTGTGACCGCCGTATGCCACTGAAGCTCAAGGGAAAATTTTATAGGACGGTAATAAGGCCAGCGATGCTGTATGGCACAAAATGTTGGGCGGTGAAGCATCAACACATACACAAAATGGGTGTAGCGGAGATGAGGATGCTTCGTTGGATGTGTGGGCACACGAGAAAGGATAAGATTAAGAATGAGGATATCCGGGGTAAAGTAGGAGTAGCCGAAATTGAAGGCAAGATGAGAGAAAATCGGTTACGGTGGTTTGGACATGTGCAACGAAGGCCTACTGACGCTCCGATTAGAAGATGCGACTATGGGACAGAGGTTCAGGGCCGAAGGGGTAGAGGAAGACCTAGGAAAACTTTGGAAGAGACTCTAAGAAAAGACTTAGAGTACTTGGATCTAACGAAGGACATGACACAGGACCGAGCACAATGGCGTTCTAAGATTCATATAGCCGATCCCACTCAGTGACTTGGATTTTCCAAGTCTCCAACCGAGAAGTTTTTCCTCACTCGGGAAATTAAGGGAACACTACCCCAACCTACATGCTCCACTCAGAAAGCTTCAACATACAAGCTTCAACAAAAGAAAATTCAAAGAACTTAGCGAAGAAGGTTTTGGTGTAATTTAACACAATACATTGAAATGAAGGAAAACTTATTTATTGATATCCCCGATAAACTACAAATATGTACATATACATGAGTAATAAACAAACAAGAGGGAGCCTTCACAAGGGTTGCTTAGGAGAAGTCTCAGCAGTCGGTAGAGCCCCAGAAAGAAAAGGCACCGGAGGGGGATCTTTCGGAGCCTCAGTACTGGACAGAACCCTAGAAGGAGGAGGCATCAGAGGTTGATCATTTGGAGCTTCATTACGCGGTACAGCCCCAGAAGACGAAGGCAATAAATGCCTTTGGAACAAACCCACAAATCTCTGATGATCAAGTAAAACCTGACCATCAGTTTCCTTCATTTGGTCAAGCTTCCTCTTCATGTTTGTAGCATAGTCATGTGCGAGCCGGTGCAACTGTTTATTCTCATGCTTGAGCCCTCTAATCTCCTGTTTGAGACTCATCACCTCAGCCGCCAATGATTCAACTTGGCGGGTTCGAGCAAATAGGCGTTGGGCCATATTAGACACAGAACCTGCACACTGAACACTGAGAGCCAGCGAATCCTTAACAGCTAACTCATCAGACCGTTTGGAAAGTAGTCTGTTATCTTTGGGCGTGAGAAGGTTCCTGGCCACCACCGAGCAGCAGTCATATCATTCTTCATCACGGAATCCCCAACGGTAAGAGGACCAGTAGGGGAGACGAAGGATGGGCGCCATATGTTGTCTGGAGAAGGCGGGGCTGCCTCTTCAACAAGGTTCAAGTCAAAACGACGGTCGGAGGGGCCAGACATTTTCAAAGGTGTTGAAGAGAGAAGAGGTTGGACAAATCAAGATCTTAGAAGGGCAAGAATGGAGCTTCTACTGGTGGAGATTCAAGTGTGCTTCGGAACTTAATGCCAGCCCCTATAAAAATCTGCACTCGACGGAGCTTCAGAAATCGAAGAGGCACCTGCTCAGAAATCGAAGAGGCGTTTGCTTTCTCAAAAGCTGGGCTGCTTAGAGACCACGAAGGTTGATCTCAGAAATCGAAGAGGCGTTTGCTTTCTCAAAAGTTAGGTTGCTCAAAGACCACGAATGCCAATCTCAGAAATCGAAGAAGAGCGCGCTCGCTTTCTCAAAAGCTGGGCTCCTCAGAGACCACGAGGGCCGATCTCAGAAATCGAAGAGGCACCTACTTTTCCAGCCTTGTCAGCACCTGTCACACGCACACTCAGCTTTGCGGAAATTATGGGCATTCTGTCGAAGACTTCTGAGGAAGTAGAAAACACATGAATCTTACTGTTCAATCACCCCACTTCCCACACGCAACAATAGCTCATGGGTATCACAGATAACTTTGCCAAAGTTCTCTGCCAAAATTGAGCACGTAAAGCTTGTAGCTCCCACTATATCGCTCTGACCAAGAAAGGTAAAAGAATAGCAAAGAAACAGCACTAACAAAGTTTAGACCCATAAATTTTGAAGGTCTAGCTACCATATTATTACCCACAAGGGTAAAGGAACAGTACCACTGCTGGATAATTGGAAAGTTGGAAAGTCCCTGTGTGTCAACCTCTGTGCTTCGTGGCAAGGTAGACTAGCAAACATGCCCAACCTTTACTCACACTCGAGAAAAACACTACCAATAAGATTGCTTGCTCCAAAATCGAAGAGGCACCGTCCTCCGAATCTCGAGAGCTAGACTCCCAACATGACTACTTTCTCAAAAATCGAAGAGAGGGTAAAGGAACAGTACCATTGCTGGATAATTGGAAAATCTCTGTGTGTCAACCTCTGTGCTTCGTGGCAAGGTAGACTAGCAAACATGCCCAACCTTTTACTCACACATTCGAGAAAACACTCCCAACAAGATTGCTTGCTCCAAAATCGAAGAGGCACCGCCCTCCGAATCTCGAGAGCCAGACTCCCAACATGATTACTTTCTCAAAAATCGAAGTGACACTGCTCCCCGAATCTCGAGAGCCAGACCCCCAGCATGATTGCTTTCTTAAAAATCGAAGATGCATCGTTCTCCGAATCAATCGAAGAGACGCTCGCTTTCTCAAAAGCTGGGCTGTTTAGAGACCACGAGGGCCGATCTCAGAAATCGAAGAGGCACCTACTTTTCTAGCCTTGTCAGCACCTGTCACACGCACACTCAGCTTTGCGGAAATTATGGGCATTCTGTCGAAGACTTCTCGAGAGCCAGATACCACAGACCACTTTTTCAAAAGTGCTCTGACAGAGTTAAAACATGTGAAGCTGGCAGCTCCCACTACTGTGCTATGACCAAGCAGGGTAAAGGAATAGCATTACTACTTGTTAGGGAGACTCCTATATATGTCGACCTTCATCCCCAACGGACAGGCAGACCTGCAAAAATGCTCAACCCTTCCTCATATCTGAGAGGGCACTCCCCACGAAGCCTTTCGAAATATTCAGCTTTCTTTCCCCCCGATAATACCTCTGCAAACAAGCTATACTAGAGCAAGAATATCTCATATCATCAGGGTTAAAAGCAAGAGTATCCCATATCATGCTTTTTCCCTGTCTTTTCCTTTGGCCTTGTTTTTACCTGCAAGACAAGGAGAAAGAGAGCAATCAGTAAGCACTTGGCATCAAGCTTCCAGCCAGGAACTGACTGCCTGGAACCCCTTACCTGATTACTTACCTGGCATTGCTCTCGAGTACTCATCTTCAACATCTTATGTTTCCAGGGAAGATACCGCATCTGCTTGAGGAACAGATAGGGCAAGTGCGAAGGATACAAGGAAGCATGTGGAGACAAGCGTAACAGCACACGTGCCGATACATCCATTACTCTGTCAAAAGCAAAAGTATCCCATATCAGCAGGGTCGAACGTACTCTAGATTTGATGGACTTGTTTTGACCCTCAAATTCTTCAGTCGGCTCTGGAGGAAACCAGAAAACCCTCCAGCTCAGTTCAAGAATAAGCCTGTGGAAAGTTACTTCTTCAAAAGCAAAAGTATCCCATATCATCTCTTCTCATTTTTTCTTCTCTTTATCCTTCATGCTGCTGCAAGATGGGGAGAAGGTGAACAATCAGCCGGAGCTCTGATTGCTTACCTTGTCTGTCACCTCTTTCAGCAGATCCCCTAGCTCGGCGACTTAGGGGACTCCTACTACATGGTTTGTATCGCGCTTGACCAAGCCTGAAACTACAAGTAAGCTTCAAGTGAAATTGATACATTACCTTGTGCATCTCCACCAATTAAAGATACCACCCCTGGATGGAGGAAGAGTACTTCCAGAGAAGATGCCACATCTACCTATGAGACAGATAAGGCAAGTCAAGACGATACCACACTCCGATACTTAGAAGTTTCGTGATTACGAGATCATTCTCTCACAATATTTCCTAATGTCATTTGTACTAAATCATTCACTTGTACTCACTAAAGGAGAGCTTGAACCTATGTATTTGTGTAAACTCTTCACAATTAATGAGAACTCTTCTATTCCGTGGACGTAGCCAATCTGGGTGAATCACGTACATCTTGTGTTTGCTTTCCTATCTCTATTCATTTATATACTTATCCACACTAATGACCGGAGCAATCTAGCGAAGATCACAAAAAGCGACCGTTTTTGCTGCCTAGGATCTATCTTGCAAGAGAACGGAGAATTAGATGGAGATCTCAACCATAGAATACGAGCTGGATGGATGAAGTGTAAGAGTGCATCCGGCGTGTTTATGTGACCGTCGTAGGCCACTGAAGCTCAAGGGAAAATTTCATAGGACGACAATAAGGCCAATGATGTTGTATATGGCACAGAATGTTGGACGGTGAAGCATCAACACGTACACAAAATGGGTGTAGCGGAGATGAGGATGCTTCGTGGGATGTGTGGGCACACGAGAAAGGATAAGATTGGGCATGAGGATATCCGAGGTAAAGTAGGAGTAGCCGAAATTGAAGGAAAGATGAGAGAAAATCGGTTTCGGTGATTTGGACATGGGCAAAGAAGGCCGACTGACGCTCCGGTTCGAAGATGTGACTACGGGACAGAGGTTCAGGGCCGAAGGGGTAGAGGAAGACCTAGGAAAACTTTGGAAGAGACTCTAAGAAAAGACTTAGAGTACTTGGATCTAACGGAGGACATGACACAAAACCGAGCGCAATGGCGTTCTAGGATTCATATAGCCGACCCCACTTAGTGGGAAAAGGCTTTGTTGTTGTTGTTGTTGTTGTTCATTGGAATGTTGATTGTTACATCAGTTCGTGGATTCTTGACAAATTTAATGAAGGTAATCCTTCTTATGCCTGCCTTACTATTTATTCTTATTTAAGTTGGAGAACCACAATCCGCTGATTGGATTTCTTGAGACTGACTTTCAAAATGCAGTCTGCAGTTTCTAGAGGGAAAAGAAATGAGTTCTGAATGCTTGCTTCTTTTTTTTCTTGACCGAGTTGCATACAAAAGGGGTAGGCCACTGTATTAAGGAACTCAGGAGCTGAAAGTTGAAACTTGAAAGACAGTTTTTCTGGATCCGGAGATAAGAACCAGATGTCCCACATTGGTCTTAGGTTGTACATGCTAGTGCCACAATTATATCAAGAAAATAAATGAATTGAGCTGACCCAGGCCTTAGTCCCCTATTAATCACTTTCTGGGAATAGGCCTTAGTCCCATTTTAATCATTTTCTGGGAATAGGCCTTAGTCCATAGTGGTCTGTGGTTGTTGAAGAGCAACTGATGGAAACATAAAACATCATTTTTACGGTTTAACTTTCTTTCTGCTGTGCACAGTTCTTTTTTGCAGTTTCCAGAGTTGGAAGTAGATCTTCTAGCAATGTTGTATTGTTTCTCTCTGAAATTATGGGAATGTACTTTGTGTCCTCTATTCTATTGATAAGGAAAAGCTTGGCGACTGAGTACAGGTATGCTGATATTTTATGTTTGTCAACTTTTGGTTTTGTTCTTCTGTCTTCCCTTGATGTTCAATGGCATGGTTATGTTTGTCGACTTTTGGTTTTGTTCTTCTGTCTTCGGTCAGTTGTATTGAGCTTAAGTGCAAGTTTATTTTACTCTAGTGTAGACAGTGCACCTAAAATTCCTACTTTGAAATGAAATTTATATATAATTACTTGAAATTAGAAGTTGACTATGTTCTCAGTGAAACAAAAACATTTTCTTCTATTCTTCTATCTATACTACATATAGAAGTATGAAAGGGGTTAAGTACAGAGTAACCGGCCAAAATACTTTGGCTTGCAAGATGAACCCATATATAATGACAGTAGTATTGGCGCGAAGATGCTATTATAATACCATGCTATATAAAAGATATTATTACTTCATGACTAAGTGAAATTGTTTAAAAGGTTAATAACAATCATATTTACTTGAAAAAAGGTTTACAATCCTAGTCATTGTAAAAGTGTATTACCATATTTGCATTTAAAATGAAAACGTTGAAGCTTGTAAACTGCAGACTGTGGCTTTAATCATGTCCTGTCTAAAAGTGCAGATTTTCCAAATGATGGCCTTCAGAAGTTTTTTGGTCTTGTGTCATATAAGCTTGATCGCATTCAGTCCGTCATTTAGGTAGCTTCTGAGCTGATGAATGAGTAGTAAAGAGTGAGCCATTATCTCTTGGCAGGTTGATCATAACAGATGTATTGGGTGGAGATATTCAGTTTGACTTCTATCACCGATGGTTTGATGCAATCTTTGTGGCCAGTGCTTTCTTTTCTTTGCTTTTGCTTTCTGTACATTTTACTTCTCGGAAAGCTGACAAACACCCGATTGATTAATGGCAAGTATGTAACAAATTTACCTTTTGAATTTAAAAAAGAATAAGAATTGGATCAAATGTAAAGGTTAAATTGTTTGTTTAGACTATTGCGAGCTTATATGCCAGGATTTTAATGAGAAAAGAAGAAAACTATGGATTTTAAATGACTGATTACATAATAGTTACTTCAAATTCATTTCAAATATAATTCATTTAGTTATCTGATATCCACTCAGTCTAATTATTCTATGAAGTAATTTGTAACCTAGGTATCTTTTGTTGTAGCATGCCAATTGCTTAAGCATATGCAAGATGTTTTGGATATTGATTCTCAAATATGGACAAGTATAATTTTATATTGAATTTATTAAGTTTTCTGATTATATGATAGGCTTTCTTGTATTCTCTACGTCTTACATGGAAAAAATTGCCCTTTGCCTTGCAGGTGCTAAATGGTATGTTGGAGCTAATTTTTCTGACATGATCGACCAAAGGATGAGGAATCCGAATGGATTGCATCCAACAACAGTCGGTTGTCATGTTGATGGCGGGGATGGTTTTAAACAGACCGGGCCGAAGGGCTGCCTGGTATTGTATGCTGAGAATGGGAAGGGGAAAGGAAAGGATGAAGGAGGTGCTGTTGAATCTGGCAACCATAAGAGTTGCTCCTCCATCCTTATTAGTTTGTTTGTCGTATGCTTTTTGCCATAATGCCATCATTGCCACGTACAGATTCTCTACTTTTTCCTCTTAACGCTCGAATTCTTCCTACACTTTGGATTTAGTCCCATACACACATATATATATATATATATATATATATTTTGCTTTAGAATATTTCAAAGCAAGAAGGGTACTAGTACTAAATATCTCATTAATAAAAGTGCACTGTGACGGGGATGGACTAAATGCAAATTAAATTATTCCTAGGTGTGCCCGCAAATCCCTTTCAGGTTGATTGTGATTCGTGAGGCTCACGCTTCCTGTGTAATATAGCCAAAGGAAGAAATATGCGTAGATTGACTTTTTTATTGCAATGCGGAAAGTAATTATGTTTATGCATCATGGTACGAATTTGACCCTCACAAATATTTCTCCTTCCCTCTTCCCTTAACAACTAACTATTTAACCTATTAATGCTATCATTGTTAAAAAAAAAATGAAAGCAACTATTCCCTCCATCCCTACCTTTGTTATTTAGGCGTTTCATTCATGCTGATAAGTAAGAAGTCAAAAGTTTGATTTACATTAATGATAAAAACTTACAAATATTTATGTTTTGGGATCATATTTTTTTGCGCTTGAATGTGTACCAACAATAGTGTTTTGGGATCAACCTTCATGAGAATTAGGGCCGTTAAGATTGCTCAAGAAGTGCTTTAAGTAAACACATGTTGAAATTATTATTTAAAAAAAAAACCTTAAAAGCAAAAAGCACTTAGAGTGCTTCTTAAAAGAAAGTGATTCTCTATAAATCGTTTTTATTTAATAGAATTTTCGTCAGTATTAAAGTTTGGTTTGGTCCTTGGTATATGATCCAAAATAATGCCTTCATACTACACATTACTACAAGATAGTGCTTTTAAGAAGAGTCGTTTAGCATGTGCTTCTCTATGAAGCGTTTTTACGTGCCATGATTATTATTACATCTTTTTAATAATTATAGTCAAAAGGCTTTTGGTTCTCGTAAATTGTTTTGGCTCTATTAAAAGCAAATATCAAACAAACCTTTGGGCCGAATGTGAGAAGTATGAAATTGCTAATCAAGTTGGTAAGGATAATATTTTTTTGTTTAGGGGTAAATTTTACCTAATTTTATTTATTTAATATTTGATGTTACTATCACTTTTTTGTTTTCCTTTTGAAATTGTCGTAGTTTTCTTAGTTTAGTTTTACCATGGTATTTCTACTTTATTAAAATCCTAACGATTTTTCTGCTAGACTTCATAAATTTTATTTTTGTAACAGTAAGAGAAAAAAAACCGTGATGTTAAATTGTTAAAGGTCAAAATGATAAAAAAAATAGACAAGGCCCCTTTAATAATTTAAAATACGGGAGACCAGCATTTAAATTCCAAATCTACAAAAGTTCTCATTCACTCATTTTCTATAGAGAATAAATCTCCACAGAGGGAGAGGATGAAGTTGAAATTCCCCAAGCTCACAAGGAATAGAGAGACGAAACAAGAAAATATATATGAGGTATATATGTATATAAGTATTTTTACAATGACATTATATATTATATACATAAATAAATGAGATTGTGTGTGGTTAGAGTAGATGGTCATTTTGGTTCTGGTCTGAGAGTTGATTTGAATGCCATTTGCTGGAAAGTTAGGGCTTCAATTGAATCGAATCGAATCGAAACGTGCAGGAGCATCGCAGGACATTGGACTACCAAGTGTTTGTTTGGGTTTCGATTAGATTAGATTAGGGTTGGGGCTTGGGACGGACGATTGCCTCGGCGAACCAACGAAGGGAGGAAGGAAGGGATTAAATCAAAGGCGCGTAATTTTCAACCGACATGCTTTTCTTCTCGTCTCTTGATTTGATTACTTGATTTTGTTTTGTATGATCGGATTACTCGCTGAATTGATGATTGGATTGATTGGCAATGGGCAATGGCTTTGCATTGGGAATTTTTTATTTCATGGTTTAGGGTTTTTGGGTCCTGATAGAAAACTCTTTTCTTTAATAATTTAATTTGCGTTTGGTTTGCATCTTCACTGCTGCATTAGCCTTTCTCTAAATTGATTTACTTTTCACTTTTCATGCAGTAATTGGAGTCCGCACTCTGTTATTGGGTACCGGAGATTGGGCTTAATGTAATTCTGGTTGTATCGCAGCAGTTTGGAGTTTGGAGAGGGAGTGATCGCATGCAAGGGCCGGCCTGTTGATCATGATATTCAGAGGACTATGGTGAGATGACTCTCGGTAATTTGCCTTTTTCTTCTTTGTTTATTTTCTGTTTCTTTTCCTATATCATGCAGTAGCCCTTATTTCAAAGAAAGCAGGCAATTAAACTTCAGGTTTTTCGTTGACCATCCATTAGGGTTTTGATAATTTCACTAGCCATTACCCGCTCATTAGGAGTTTGTTGTAATGGATGATTGAATTCAGATTTTAGGAACAATGGAGGAATTTCCCTCATACATTAATCTAACCATAAGTTTGAACAAGGAAATTGGAGAGAATGAGGAATTCCAAAATGATACAACTTAAAATGATGGAATTCAGGGGTGGTTTGGGAGTGAGGTGCTTAAAAAAAAAGCACCCATAAAAAAAAGTTGTAAGGGTTTTAGGTGTTTGGTAAACTGGAAAAAAATGGCTTATTTTGGAAGCTGCTGTGAGAATAAGCTGAAATCAAAGGAAAAAGCTGAAGCTGCTATTTGCAGCCTTGGAAAACTGGCTTTTTTTCAAAGCACACGGAGCTACAGTGCTCCTTTAATGAAAATACCCACTATCAGACTGCTTTTTTTTCCAAAAGCACTTTTACAAAAAAGTTTACCAAACACTCTGCTGATTCACAGCACAGCCGCTTATTCTCACCGCAACTTTTTTTCAAAGCACAACAATACCAAACCAGCCCTCACTGTTCTAGAATTTGTCAAATTTTTTGTTTGGTTAACCTAAAGTGTAATGGGATTTAAAGATGGAAGTTTATGTTTTGTTCTTTTATAGCCACCAATTTGTAAATGTGGGGTAGTGTTTGGTAGATGTGTTCAGGGTGGAAGTGATGGTGGTGATGACCAGGTAGTGGAGGTCGTGGTTATGGCGGCGTACATAGTTGTTGTTTTTCTTAAAATACTCACTCTTTTGGAATTTTAGAAATTATAACTTTTTAGATGGAAAATTATGAACTTCAAATTATACATCTCTTTGTTTATTATAAATCCAAACAAGGGAATGGTTGTATATCAATTTAAAAGATCTCTCCTTGTTCCAAATTCCAAGTTTAGTAATTTTCATTTGTGGGAATATTACTGTCCAGTTGAAGGGATTCTCACATGCAGCTTCCTGCATATGTTTTTTTTTTTACTTACTCCCTTAAGCTGAGAGTGACATTGAGTGTGGGATTTTTCTCATTTATTTGATTTTTACGTTGCCCATGCTCTGATACGGTCAATGCTGCAAAGTCAGGATTTTCCTATAACTTTTTAATCCTCCATTGTTAATTTAAGTATTGCTTCCACTACTAATTTATTTCTTTGTATTTATTAGGTGTCATCTAAATTTTTAAAAGAGTTTGGTAAGCATTCCAGAGGTGGGAAGGTTCATATTAGTGGCGAGTCTGGGGCTTGCAACGTGTGCTCTGCTCCCTGTTCATCTTGTATGCATCCTAATAGATCTTTTATGGGGTCAAAGGCTGATGAATTTTCTGATGAAACCTGTCGTGTTAATGCGGCTAGTCAATATTCTATCAGTGTGGGAGATACTTCATCTTCTTTTAAGAGAAAAGCATGTGACAGTTTACAACATACCACCAGCGAGACAAGTAACCTGCTTAGCGTTAATTCAAGTCACGATTCTTTGTCTGAAAATGCTGAAAGCAAAGCAACCATGAGGTCTTCTGATACATCCGAAAATGCTGTTGAAGTCCATGATGATAACATTTCATGTATAAGCAGAGCCAATGATGCAAATCTGGCAGTCAATAACCATAACAGGAATGTAGAATGGAAGAATTTGTCTTGTAGTTTAGCTTCAGCTGGTAGTATAGGGACAGAAGAATCTGGAAAGGCACATAAGTCAACCTTGTCAGAGATGGTAAAACCTGCAGATTCTGGTGATGGCACAAAAAAGGTGCAAACTCTTGCTTTTACTCACGAATTGGTCATCTCTTTCCTTTTATGCAATTTTGTACTGATTTAGGAGAGGATGCATCTCTTATCATATGCAGGGAAAACTGCCAGAATTTTTTGGACATGCTGATTCATCATTTAAGAATGAGTCAGATATTTTTGCTGGCCAGAAATTCGTTTCTTGTAAAAGTTTAGGGGTCCCTACAAAATTGTGTCCAAAGATAGAAGTAGAGAGTAATGGACAAGACCCAAAAGATGAAGCGTCAAAATGTTTGGATCATGGTGAGAAAGATGTTATGTCGAATGAGTTGGTCGAAGTAGCTGACATGCAGCCCTTGCAATCTGCATCTGGGGATGACAGTGATGAATCAGACATTGTGGAGCATGATGTGAGTTCCCTCCCATACCTCATAAAATTTGTATGTATGACTTGTTTGCACAATTTCTTGTTTATTCTTTGTGTCTCTTCCCCCTCAATATTTTTTCTGGCTTCACGTGTCTCCCTATAAGGTTTCATATAAAATGATATTTTCTTGCCAATAGTCTGAAGATTTGTAAATAAGCTTCTTGATTTATGTTGTCGTTGTAACTTAATTGTTTGATCAAACCTAATGTTGATTAGCATATTTCAAGATAATAAAGAGAAAACAAGTATTTGCAGCTTTTTCAGTGTCATTAAGAAAACATCCCCCTTTATTTGTTAAAAATTTGTAAATGTTTGCTATTTTCATGCTAGAACATCACATTTTAATTTGAAGGATGTTATCCCAGCAGATCAGTGCTCATTAGGAGGGGTATGCGTGATGTATTCATCTATATTGAGGTTTAATTATCTTATGCTTTAAGTCAGAGATAGTAGACTTTGGATAGTTGCATCATGTTAAAGACAAGGAAGGGTTGTCTATCCATTTTTGTTATTGGCTCCTCTTGGAGACTTTATGAATGCTTCAATTTTATCTTTTTTTTATATTTTTATCTGTGGGTGACATGCTTTATAGCTTCTCATTTCCTGTATTGGCTTCTTCACTTATGAGCTGAAAAACTAAAAACTGTTGCCTTTTCTTTTGGGGTCATAAACAGGTAAAAGTATGTGAT